CATTCCTGTCAGCAAAACATCCCTCACCAAGTATTTGATCTTGGGAGATCACAAAACCTCTGAGTTTACCTTGTTGTTCTAAAATTTTTGCCTCTTCTCTCAACCAGCTTTTCCACTGTAGCTGCTGGCTATATTCTAGAACAGCTGAAATTAACTGATGCCAGTCATCTGGGATGATTCTATGTGAGGTAGACCACGAATTTAACATCTATTTTACGTATGTGGAGTGTATCCCATATGTAACTACTGCTTCCTTTATATTTTTAAAGTCCCTTGTTGAAATTGGTTGTAATGTATATGTAGTATATGACTCGGGGTGTATGTCATCTGCTGGCTTCTCATGGATAACAGGATAAGCCATTGTGTGAGAGCCATTTGGAGATGTTACAACCTCTATGGTCTTGCCCTTCTGCTTATTAGGTCCCTTGTCATGTTTACTGAGAGTTTCTTCTAAGGCCTGCCAACGAGCACCTAGGGTCTATTCTATGGAGTGAACCTCCTCTCTGGCAAGGGACTCCAGATTTCTCATGGAATCACAGAAGTTTTTATGTTCCTCAGAAACACATGATTCCATGGACCTTATCTTATCAATTAATGATAATCTTTCTTCCTTATATAGTGTCTGGAGAGTTAGTGTTCTGTCCATTAAATATTCACATTTATTATCAATAAGATCAATTTTTGGTACAAGCCTGTTTTGTAAATCCTGATCAGCAGATTCCAGAGAAAGAATCTTCTTCTCTAAGGTCTCATTGCTATCCTTTAAAGCAGATTCCAGAGATAGAATCTTTTTCTGTAAGCCTTCATTGTTAGTTTTGAAAGCCTGTAAATCCTGGTTAGCAGATTCCAGAGAATCTTTTTCTGTAAGCCTTCATTGCTCTCGCTTAAAGCCTGTATCAGTCCCAATAATGACTCATCTTTGTTCTTGTTATTAAACCAGTGTTTGAACACTGTGTGGATTATTACAATGAATGCCAAAATGGTACAGGCCAGATATGCCTTAGGAGGGTCGTATATTTCCAGGAAGATGTCATTCATCATACAGGCAAAAAGGTTTTCAAATTCTTGTGAGGTAATGTTGTCAGCCATATTACAAGAATTACTCAAAATTTGTTAGTCAATTTTAAGGTGTAAAATTATCAGGTACTTTTACTTACCTTTCGTGGTTTTGGGGGTTATAGTAGCACTTTTCAGCCAGCAGGTGGCGATGGTACAGCTCCAAAGCAGGGCCTGCTGGTGATCTTGGCTGACTCCAGCTCGCTGGAGTCAAGATGTCGGGAGCCGGAGCCGGCGCCGGCACTCAGGAAGCGGGGGAGTGTCTCTTTTGCTGGTCTTGGGGCTAAGCTGGGGAGCTGAGACCGGACTAGCTGCTCCCTTTTTCGGGAATGGAACCGTGTAGGTGTTCCCTGGTTATATGGAACTTTGCAGGCGGGTTTAGGTACCCGCTACCCGGGGAGGAGGCTGAGGGTGGGAGCCACCCAGGCCTTTGGAATTTGCCCCACGTGAGCGCCAGATATTGGTGAAATTATTAAGGCCACTCCACGTAGTTAAAAGGAGATTTATTTAATGGCGTAACTTACAAATTAAGGGATAGGTAGGTCGCGGAGTCTGGGGAAGGTGTATCGCAGTCCAGCGGTGTTCTCTGGAGCTCTGCTTGGTCCACCTCTCCCGTCCAGGGTCCCGGAACTGAGCCCGAGCCCGCTGATCCAGCTCTCCAGTCTCCAGGCGCCTCCCTTGGCCTCTCCTTGTAGGCGTGACAGTTGCTGAAGTCTCAATGGGGGTTGGAACTTCCAGATCAAAGCTGGAATGGCTACCCACTACACCTGACTGATTCTTGAAGTCCATTAGAGTTCTTTTCATTCTTAGTAGTTTATTTCACATGGCTAGTTATTATCCTTTGTGTTAAGTGTTTTCTGGTGTGGTTTCTGTCTTCTATCTTTTGATGAGCTTGACTGAGAGAATTTACAAATTCTCCCAATTTAAGAATCGCAAAAAGTGTTTGGGGAAAATCAAGGAAGAGAGCTAATTTTAGAAGGGATCACTCAGGATCCCAAACCAGACAAAGATATAATAATGAAATAAAACTATATACATGGGCATAGATGCAAACAACCTTACTCAATAAAAGAACTTCTGTACAGCAGAGCAATGGTAGTAACAACTGCATGGTATTGGCATAAAAACAGACAGGTGGATCAATGGAACCCAGTTGAAGACCAGAACTTAATCCACACACCTATGGACACTTGATTGTTGACAAAGAAGCCAAAATTACACAATGGAAAAAAGAAAGCACCTTCAACAAATGGTGCTAGTTTAATTGCATGTAGGCATGTAAAAGAATGCAAATAGATCTGTACCTATCACCCTGCATGAAACTCAAGTCCAAGTGGATCAAAGACTTCAACATAAAACCAGATACACTGAATCTGATAGAAGAGAAAGTGGGGAATAGCCTTGAAGGCATTGGCAGAGGAGACAACTTCCTGAGCAGGACAACAACCGCACAGGCACTGAGTTTGACAATTAATAAATGGGACCTCATGAAACTGAAAAGCTTTTGTAAGGCAAAGGACACTGTCAAAAGGACAAAACAGCAGTCCACATAATGGGAAAAGATCTTCACCAACCCTATATCTGACACAGGGCTAATATCCACTATATATAAAGAACTCAAGAAACTAGACATCAACAAGCCAAATAATCCAATTAAAAAGGGGATACATATCTAAACAGAGAATTCTTAACAGATGAATCTCAAGTGGCCGAGAATCACTTAAAGAAATGTTCAGCATCCTTAGCCATCAGGGAAATGCGAATCAAAACACTGAGACTCCATCTTACACCTGTCAGAATGGCTAAGATCAAAAACACTGAAGACAGCTCATGCTGGAGAGACTATGGAGCAAGGGGAACACTCCTTCACAGCTGGTGGGAGTACAAACTTGTACAGCCATTTTGGAAATAAATATAGTGGTTTCTCCGAAAAATTAGGAATCAATCTACCTCAAGACCCAGCTATACCACTCCTGGACATATACCCAAAGGATGCTCCACTATGTCACATGGACATTTGCTCTGCTATGTTCATAGAAGCTTTATTTGTAATAGCCACAAACTAGAAACAATCTAGATGTTCTTCAACTGAAGAATGGACAAAAAAAATGTGGTTCATTTACACAATGGAGTTATTACTCATCTGTTAAAACAATGACATCAGGAAATTTGCTGGCAGATGGATGGAACTAGAAAAGATCATCCTGAATGAGGTAACCCAGCTCGAGAGGCAAATATGGTATGTACTCACTCACAATAAGGAGAACCATGGTACAATCCACAGACCCAATGAAGCTAAGTAACAAGGAAGGCTCAAGTAGGGAGGGTGCATGAATCATACTGTGAAGGGGAACAGAATGGACCTGGCCAGTAGACAGAGAGAGGAGACTGGTAGGGGGGATGGGGATGGAACAGGAGGGATCAGGCAGGGGGGAGGATGGAGGGAGACAGTACAGGGAGAGACAAATGGAATCCGGGGACATCTCTGGGACGAGCCAGAAACCTAGAGCAATGGAAACTCCCAGGAATCTGTGAGAGTGAGCTTAGCTAAGACTCCTAGCAAAGGGGATATGGAGCCTGAACCAGCCATCTCCTGCAACCGGGCAAGACTTACAGTGGAAAGACTGGGACACAGACTCTTCAACCTACAATTTGTCCTGCCTACAGGATGTGCTGGGGTAAAGATGGTGCAGAAATTGTGGGAGTGATCAACTAATGACGGGTCCAGTTGGAGACCCATACCCTGAGAGGGAGCTCACCCTTGAGGGCCAGAACCCAGAGGTGGTATACCCCAGAGACCTAGGATAGAACCAAACAGGACTTGGGGGTTAAACGTCAATGAAATGATTCCTAGTGATATTCTGATACACTCATAGATTGGTGCCCAGCTCAACTGTCATCAGAGAGGCGTCACCTAGCAACTGATGGAAGTAGAGACAGAGACCCACAGCCAAACATTAGGTGGAGCTTGAGGAATCCTGCAGAAGAAGGAGGAGGAGGATCGTGGGAGCCAGAAGGGTCAAGGACACCATAAGAAAACCCACAGAACTAACTAACCTAGGCTCGTAGGGACTCACAGAGATCAAAACCACAACCAGAGATGCTACATGGGACTGACATAGGCCCTCTGCATTTTGTTACAAGTGAGTAACTTGGTCTTGTTGTGAGACTCCTAACAGTGAGAACAGGGGCTGTCTCTGACTGTTGCCTGCTTTGGGGGCCTGTTCCTCCCACCAGATTGCCTCATCCAGACTTAATAGAAGAGGAGGTGCCTCGCCTCACTGCAACTTGATATACCATGGCTGGCTGATATTCATGGGAAACTACCCCCCCTTCACCTGAAGAGAAAAAACAGGGTTGGGGGTGGATGTGGGGGAGAGGACATTGTGGGGAAGAAAGGTCAGAAAACGGAAGCAGAGGAAACTTTCCCTAGATAAAGGGATCGAAAAACAAAAAGAAAAAGAAAAAGGGATGAGGGGGAAAGAAACCACCTGAAATATCATGCTAATAGTGAAAGCCATTCTTCCTAAGATTGGGAACAAGGTGAGGATGTTGGATCTTAACACTCCCCAGTGTTGTACCTGAAAGTCCCAGCCAGCACAACAAGCATCTTCTGAAATAAAGCAGACACACTGGGAAAGAAGCGACACCCCCTGCAGACACAGATGACAGAGTTGTATGTGCAGAAATCTTCATGTATCCAGACACAACACACAGCATGGGTAAGGATGCTTTCATCGGGACTTTAGGACTGGGGAAGGGGATGTGACATCACAGCATCATTTGGGGGACAGTTGGGGGTTTTGTATAAAGTTAAACGTAAGAGCTAGTAATCTTTCTCCCCAGTTCATCCAGAAGAAATAAATGCACAGTCTCAAAGATTTGTATGTAAATGCTATCCTGGGTTTTATTTTTAATCTCACTAAAATAGGAGATGGAGAAACGAAACTGTGGTATAGCCGTCCACTGGAGTTCTCTTGAGAAATACGAAGGAGCGCATCACTTCGGCAAGCAATAACCTGGACAAACCTCACAGCGTTCGGCTGATGGAAAACAACCATTCAGAAGAATGAATAGCACATCATGTCACTTGCACCACGCTTTCAAAACAAACAAATTTTTAGCAACAGAAATATCAATGGTTGCCTGAAACTCTTCTCATAGCTAATTGTATAGGTGTAACAGAACCCTCTGGAGTGACGGAAATAGTCAATAGCTTCATTGGAGTGCTAGTTACAAGGGAATCTTTACATTTATCAAAACACCAAACTACACACTTAAAATGGGAATATTCTTTTATATATAAATTTCATGTTTTCAAAAATATTTAAAAATCTATACTATAAATCACTTAGGCTTGGTTTTAATATAATTTTTCTTTAATCTGATTTATACCAGTAATTAGCTTCAAGTTTTCAAAAGCAATACAAAATCTCATTGTAGTTCTAACAGTGTTAAACTGCTACAAATTCCCATGTAGTACAATTAATTCAATCAGTCATTTTTCCTTATAAAGAATTCCAGAATTCACTTTACCCACATGAAAAACTGATTTGTTTCTAAGAGTTACATTAATGTTTAACGTACTAATGAGAAACATGCTTACCAACATTTAACACTGGAATATAATAAGTGCATCTAGCCATAGAAACATTAGGAGGTGACCCAATTCAGTTGAGCTAGTAAAAGGCTAAGTGTCCCCTCCTGCCACATATATAGACGTGAAGGCATTCATTTTCCAGAGCCAGCTTTGAGGACATACGGCAAAAGCCTAAGAAATGCACAGGAAAGCTGCTCAACCCACCTACAGCATTGGCTTATGTGGGAGAAATGTTCTCAAGACAGTTATAAGGGTGATAAGAGTTAAAAGTTGCAAGTGAGATAATTAAAGAATACAAACAACCCAACTTAACCTGATTATTTTTAATACTGCAAAATAGCTTTGGAGTTAGTTTATTAATGAGGTATTTTTCAAAGCATCCCACCATCATTTCATACAATTCCAAAAGCATCATTACAGGGGGAGGGAGGCAGAGAGAGGGTGTGTGTGTGTGTGTGTGTGTGTGTGTGTGTGTGTGTGTGTGTGTGTGAGAGAGAGAGAGAGAGAGAGAGAGAGAGAGAGAGAGAGAGAGAGAGAGAGAGAGAGAGAGAGGACAGCCTGTTAGAGTATCTGTTGAAGTGTTCATCTGCTTCCTCTTAAGCATCAGCATCTTCTAAGGAAGCCTCAACTCACTTAGACACACGTCAGTGCTCACAAATGCACTTCTGAGGTTCTCAGGTCCCAGCCATCTGCATGATCATTTACAAACAATATGGAGAGAACTACCTTGGTATTTGTGCCAAGACTGCAAGGCAGGAACCACCCAAACCACTCCTGAAGGATGGGACTAACAAACGATGGATCTTAAGGGCTAGCACAGGCAATGCCAAAGACACCTGCATTCCTTCCGGAATTAGTTCTAATTCAATCTTTCACAGGCTCTGGGAAAAATGTACTATTTTCCCTATCTACTCTTCATAATTGTTAGCCTCCAAGGCTCATATTATAGGTCCATCAAAACTGGCCCTGAGTCAAACTCAAAAATAGAAAATCCAAATAGTGTCTTGATGCCCTGTGAGTACTAGCGAGCCGCTTCCACGTGAAAGTTGTCGAACTGCGCAAACTCGAAGGTGTGTGTTCCTATCGCAGCCCAGCCATTCCTTGAGTATTTCACAGGAACATTGTCCCACAGGACCTTGCCGTTCAACATGCCAGAGGCGAAATAACCCTGCAGGAGAGAGAAATGTGTCCCTTGAAAATGTGGAAACAATTCTCTGTGGTCTGTTTAAGAATGTAGTCAGCTACTTAACGGAGCAAACATCTTTCACCCAAAACCCAGAACTGTAAAATACAGTTTCTCAGGTTTGAGCACATGTCTGAAATACATCAAAATTTTTCTGAAAGAATTAAGAAGTACCTGTTTAAACAGTTCCCAATATACGTTAAACCTCAATATTTCCTGATGTTTCACACCAAATCAAAACCAAAAAATAAGCCCGTAATATTTTTATAGCATTATTATGAAGCTTCAGACAGAAGTCCATTAAAACAATACAGTCATTGCACATACCAGTCCTTTGGCTAAGTGAGAGATTCCTCCAGAGTTTGCTGGAGCCCAGATGCCTGCTTAAGGTCTCAATTAAGGACTGTGTACCCAGCCAGAGGAGGAATTAGCCTCCATCTTACTCTTTGTCCCCAAGTCACTACAAAGCCATATGGAATGGCTACTCTTACATCAGAAGAGCAGTAGTCATGGCTTAAACAGAGCCGTGAGGTAAAGTGGAAGGGGGAGGAAGGATCATGCACATAAGGTGTGAGTTACTAGGAATGATGGGAAGAAATCAAGCATGTCTTTCTCGGAGAGTGGCCATTACATTTCCCTTACACATGGTAAACTGTCAATTTCAACTTTCATTACCACTCCTGTAGTGCACTATGAACACACACTCAAAAGCACACCAAGTGTCAGCTAGCCATGTACAACAGGCTACTTTCAAAATATAAAGAGTGGAGAGTTGGGCCATTAGGCCAAAACCTTTCTGTCTCAAAATCTTTCTGTCTCAAAATATAATGCAATGCTCTTTAATTTTATGGGTGGAGACACTGAGACTTGGGATGACTAAAATTCTATGTAGAAGATTTTCCAGAAGAGTCAGGAATTGAATCCAAGTCACCTAAAGCCCAATGTGATGCCGCATACCTCTGACCACACAACTGCACAGTTGTCTTGTCTCCAGAGCACTTTCTGGACATCCCCTGCCACTTCTAGAGAAGTAACCATTAGCACTGTGCCCAGGGACACACACACACAAATCATACTAAACATACAGCCTGTCCCAAGGGGCCACAGTGCCTCCTGGCCCCACTCCCCAGGCTCCAATCATCCTGGCTTCCCAGGTGCCTTCTGCACCGTCTATGAGGACTACTCAGCTTGTTCTCTGCCTCATTTACATATAAACTCAAGCAACACCCACTTGGCACAGTCTTCTCTGATGTCCAAGGTTGGGAAGTCAGAGCAAGAGGGTTATTTTATCACATTACCCCAAGTTTCTTCATAACTATGTGTGTACTCATTTCCAAGTTACTGACTTAGAACGAAGCTCAGCAAACCATGGCCGCAGGCCAGCCACCCATCTCCATAGTGAGCTTTCACTGGAATGCAGGCACACTAATCATCTACCTTTTGTCTGTCATGGCCTTCTCGTGACAAGAGCAGAGTTAAGTAGGTGACACACAGAGCACATGGAACACATGCCCAACCATCATCACTTGTCTGGCTCTTCAAGTAAAATGTTTGCCCAGCCCTGAGTATGAATTCCCTCATATAGCATGACTAGTCTAGAAGGCACCTGATTTCCAAATCAGGGAGTGGCACAAGTTAATTGATTTGCCCAAAGTCTCAAAAACCCTTTGATGGCAGAATTAAACATAGGAATAGACCTTATAGAGTTTCTCTCTTACCTGCCTGACCATTATCATGACCAAGAAATTTTGGCTAGACAAGTCATAGGATCCAGGAGAGATCCTAACAACTATTACTCCACTTAAGGAGCATAATATTAAGCCAACTCTTAATGACTTAAGCCTGTACCTATGGATTAGCACATCTTTCAACCCTCATCAGAGAAGCTTCTTTTTGCAGTAGATGGTGGTTAACACATAGACCCACAACTGGTCTGGGTGGATAGAATGAGAGACTTGTAAATGTTCCACCCCAGATAGGACACCTATATCACACCCCATCCTCCCAAGACTCAGGGACCATGTGGAAGAGGAGGGAGAGGGATTATAAGAGCCAGAGACAATGGGTGACTCTAAGAAAAACGATTTTCTGGACACAGCAGAAAAGCTGTATTATGAAGTCACAGCAATTGTAACAGCATGCATGAGACCTGTGCAAGCTCAAGCCAGACAAGATCCCAACATGGAGAGAAGAGGTGGGTATGAATCCCACCCCTCGCTGGGGAGCTATTGGCAACTGAAAGATACGAAGACAGGAAGGTTAAGTTTGCTTAAAGCATGTGGTCCCTGGTAGATAGAACATGCTTGAATGGATAGTCACATACCCAAGAGGATAGGGGCAATATAAATTGAACTTGATAGATTAAAAAAAAAAAAGAGGACACAAAGTTACGTGGATAGGGAAGAGCGTAGATCTGGTAGAAGATTGAGGTGACTATATCAAAATACATTATATGAAATTCTCAAAAGACAATTAAGAAGAATTAAATGCAATTGAAAAGAAATAAATGCACTTCTTCTAAATACCCATCTTTAGCATTCGGGAACTATGTTTGGGGTCATCCCATCAAAGGACAATTAGAACACATTATACCCATTAAGAATGGAATGATCAAATAAACTACACCACACCCCAACTAGATCCTCAACTCTATTAATAAACAGCTTAAAAATCAGAATCCTCATTTTTAGTGGTTGAATGGATACTGAGAAAAAAAATTAAGTTCTTAGAGTCTCAGTTTTAATTTATATTTACAACCTAAATACAAGTAGGCAAGAACTACTTGGGAATCGTCACATATTACAAGACACTTTCTCTATACAGCATCTTTTGGGAGCACTGTCAGTTAGTACCTCATGGTCAACCAAGGATGCTGATGATGATTTTTAGATTTTCTTTATCCTATGATTACTCTAGTATCATCTCGAATATAAACTATCAGAAATAAGCCTCTGTAACTTTGCATACTCCTGTTAGTTCTACTTATACTTTTGCTTCAAAGAACACTGAGAACAGTTCATTTGTTCACTTAACCAATTACTCCTCAATTTAAAAAGACAAAAACAAAGTTAAAAGAAAATAGTGGGCCGGGCGGTGGTGGCGCATGCACTCAGGAGGCAGAGTCAATTGGATCTCTGTGAGTTCGAGCCCAGCCTAGTCCATAGAGAGAGATCCAGGACAGGCACCAAAACTATACAGAGAAACCCTGTCTTAAAAAAAAAGAAAAAAGGCCGGGCGGTGGTGGCGCACGCCTTTAATCCCAGCACTCGGGAGGCAGAGGCAGGTGGATCTCTGTGAGTTCGAGGCCAGCCTGGTCTACCAAGTGAGTTCCAGGAAAGGCGCAAAGCTACACAGAGAAACCCTGTCTCGAAAAACCAAAAAAAAAAAAAAAAAAAAGAAAAAAAAGAAAAGAAAATAGTGGTCTAAACAGTCAACAACTGGTTCTCATGAGAGTAACTGACATACAATTTCATCCTATGGATGGATGTTTTAATGATTCCACAGCAGACTCCCCTCTTTTCATCATTTATATCCCTCCATTTGTTTTCTAACAGAAAATTCTAGAAAGTTACACAAACATTTTACCTCCATCCTTTCTCATCAGCAATACTCACCTTAATGCTTAAGGTGAGTGTGTACCATCTTTTTGCTGTAATGTCAGCATGTCCTGAAGCATATGTGATCCACCCACCTGTAACACAAAAAAGAATCTCTCAACTGGCCTACTTTTAAAACCTAAATCCCAGGATGATACAACTCAGGGAGGTTCATACATGCACCTGCATGTAGTAAAGTCTACCTTAAGGAAGCATTGTCCCTTCATTTCCACATCTGTAATTGATTTCAAAGGGGAATCCCTCATTCAGCTGCACACTACACAAGCATGCATGTATTGAATTCTATTCTACACCACAGAACGTAAGTGCGCTCACAGCAGAATGAATGAGAGACACTTAAAAACTAACCATGTCTGATGTATTAGCATGTAAACCCACCAATACACTTCTATCTGGTTGGAGCAGTCCAAGACTACAAAAGCCTGTCAGCTCGTAGATCTGCTTACATGAAAACAGCATCGATTACCATAGCTAAAGATGAAAAAAGGCTTCTTTTGTGTTTACGGCATTTGAATGTCTGGAAGAAACCTAGGATTGGACATCAAGTGATTGATGTCCCCACTACAAACTACAGCAGTGGGGACTGAAGACGCAGACTGGAATTCCTAGCTCTCACTCCGCCACTAACTAGTTCTGGGGACTTTGGGAAAAGCAACCCATGTCTCTGGCTCTGCTTTGGATCAAAACATCAAGGAGGTACCTCCTCACTATGACAATATCCTTACCAGCTGTTACCTCTCTATTGTTTTATTTACAGAGCTGGGACAAAGAGCAGAAAACCATAAAACTTAAAAAAAAAGTCACTAATGTGACAAGTCACTAATGTGACAAGTCACTAATGTGACAAGTCACTAATGTGGAAAGTCAAGAGACTGAGAATTAAGAAGTTGCCCCCATAAGCCTGTTGTCACTACAGCAGTGTGAGCTAAGTGCAATTCGATGTCAGCGTGCATCTAGGCCCCCATTCTGTAGTAAGAGCTGTTCTGCAGAGGCCAGCGCTACTGAGACAGAGTCCAGTGAGGAAAGGCAAACTGCTTCTAAGAAGTCCGTATAGTAGGGAACAGGAGTCTCCATTTTAAGAGGCTCAAGCGGTTCCTTGGTTTCGACAAGCCCCATAAGGTTAGTCTGTCGAATGTCTCCTGCGTGTGTTCTTCCTCCCATCACTGCTTCACCCGGGGCTTCACAAACCTACCCTCACCCTCACAGCACCGCATGCCCCAAATGTCCTACAAGCCTTTCTGCTGTTACTTTCTCATTCCTGATCTGCCCTCCTCCAGAAAACACTAAATAGCTGTGCTTCTGAACCGCTCGGTACTTGCCGACACACATTGAAATTCTTCCCACTAGACACACAGGCTCCAAGTAAGATCTGACCCATTAAAACACGTCACTTACCCAGGTCAGCTGTAACTCTGTAAGATCCATTTGCGAAAACCCAGAAGAAAATCCCTGTAGCAGTTCTAATCAAAATGCCACCTTTAGTCACTCTTCCGGCAATGAAGACCCCTCCTCTCTGAGGGGTCTCTATATAAACATCACACTGCACCGTCATGTTGGACCTGCAGAATCAGAGAGTCCATTACCCTCTTCAGTTACGGTACTAACCTAGCCCGAACACGCCCCTTAGCAAATGCCTCCTAGCTTCAGTTGAGAGTGTGACGGGCTACGTCTGAGCTTGGAGCGAGGGTGGGCTTCAAGAATCTTTACTGACAGCTGCTTCAAGTTTCACGTGATTAAATCCATCAACTCCGCTGATTCTGTTAGCTCGCTAATGGACAGTACCCTTACTGGTTTTAAGCACCATCCCAGTATGTTTCTTGTCTTTCTGTTCTAAAACAATCTGTCATCGTGCTAGTGTGACACTGAATGGGACACTTCCATGGTGCATGAAGGCCAAGTTTCCGGCGACTCGGACCAGGAAGGTTTACTGACATTTCCATCACCAGTGACCCAGCACTCACACAGCAGCTCACAACTGTCCGCACCTCCAGTTTCAGGAGAGTGGATGGATGCCTTCTAGACTTTGCCAGCAAAGCATGTGTATGGCACACAGACATACATGCAGGCAAAACACCCATATCCATAAAAATAAATCTCAAAAAAAATTAAGATAATAGGGTATGCTCATTCTGCAGCAGGACCTGTGAAAAATAACGAAGAACTTGCTAACTCAGCACAATGGTATCATCTCCACAGGGCCTAACTCAGTAAAAGTCTGCGATGGGCCCTTGAATGTCCTTGTCTCAGCTTCCTGTGTAACGTGATGGTGCTGGTCCACAAATATCACTTTGAGAAGCATTTTACCCTGCACAGCAAGGATGTCTGCCTGACACCTATATGGATGCAGAAAAGCACTGGTTACAGGCTCACTGGTCCATGGGAGTGTGTCAAGGGTAAGGAAAGAGTCGACCAATCAGGAGCTATCAGAGCTTTTACAATAAGCTCTCCTCTGGGTCGGTTTCCTTTGACACATGTCACCAGGTACAGCATTTTCCCTCTAAGACAATAGCACCTCTCTAAAACATCCTCCCTGAAAACAACCCCTTCCTACTCAACACCTACCAGTAAACAGGAAGAAAAACGTGTGTTGCCAAGTAATAAATCATGCAATTTATCCAAAGTAAGCTAAGGATACAAGGATACCAGGACATCTGCTCTGGAAATGAAGTAGGGGGGATACTGGATCTAGAACTGTGTGTCCTTCACATTTCTCTAAGTTTCTTCTTAAGTGAATTGTGCAGCTTAACTTTACCTCAAATAAGGGAGGAGGAAGGGGAGAGGAGAAAGGAGAAGAAAGAGAAAGAGACAGACAGTCAGACAGAGAAAAATAGAAAATACTACCTAAAGCAGGCAAAACAGTAAGTCAGCACTCTAAAATTCCATAACTAAATTAAAGGTGAAAGTAAAAGTTTTATTTTTCAATTGTGTTTTAACTGGACAAAAATCTAACTTGTATGTTTATTATATATCTAAAGAAAGGGTTGAATTGCTTAGCCTTAAAAATTAAATCTGGTTTGCTTTTTAAGTAGCTTCCTATACCTAGCTAAGGTGGTGTGATTCTACTGTTTGTCCAGCAGGTGGCAACACCAGCTCAACAAATCAAGTCTGGTAAAACAAAGCATTCAAATGAAAAGGTGTGCAAATAAATATTAAACTATACTATAATATTAAATGATATTATAGAGTCCAAGTGTCCTCAACTCTTCCGTTCAAGTTAAATTTCTCTCACTAAAGTTATTATCAAACTGGAATAATCTGAGGGAAGGACATGGAAAAAACTCATTTGCTCATTTGAGTTCACACAATTATGACCTGCCTATTTGGTTCTTGACACAAGAAGGACTACTGCAACCTCTTCACTCAGAAAGTACCCAGATCACAAGGTTAGCCACTGAGGGCCGCTCTCCCACACACCAGTGGTAATCGCCTATAATGCTGATCGTGCTGGAAGCATCCGCAGCCCAGGTAATAGGTCGTTGATTGAGAACTTGGCGCAGTGTGTAATGATGGGGTCCAGGGTCTTCGAGATTTGTGTAGTACTCAAATACTCCAGTCTGGTCAGCAAAATTTGGAGCTTCACTAAAAAACGGGTAATCTGTTCAGAACACAACAAATCCTCCGCTTAGTATCTCCGAGGCCAAGTGTCGATCCCTTTCCAGTCCTCTCCTTTCTGTATCTGTGGTGCATTGGGAAACTTTTGAATAATTTTTAAAACATAAATAATACTTACACTCAACCAAAGTTTAGATCAAAAGACGTGTGTGTGTGTGTGTGTGTGTGTGTATGTCTGTGTGTGTGTGTCTGTGTGTGTGTCTGTGTGTGTGTGTCTGTGTCTGTGATATATTTGGAGATGTAGATCTAAATAGTTGGCCAGATGCCAGTACCAGAGCCCAAGGCCTTTCTCTGTCAAGCAGCTGAAAGTTCATGCCCTGCCATGGGAATGTGAGACCAGCAGTGAGTGGCAGAGACAGGAGTCCCCATGTTGGGACAAGCCATGCTGCCCCCTGCAGGAGGGTGAGGGTGCATCACTCTGGCAATGTTCATCTTTTCTACAGCTGTCAGTTTGGGAGGCACATTATAGAGCTACTTGACTCATCTTTGAAACGTGCAGTCCTCCCAAACACCCCTGCTTGGTGAGTAAGCAAATGTTGCTGCTTGCTGGGTCTTCTAGAGATGCAAGCACAGTGAGCATGCATCTGTTTTCAAATGGTTTCCCCAACTGTCCATCCTCCAAGGCTTCTCTAATCACATTAGAACAGATCCTCCTGAGGACCCGGGCTAAACTCCAGCGAACAATGAGTTGGCGCCCCTAACAATCATGACTGCCCTCTAGCACTCAATTGCCTGGCACCGAGATGGAGACAAAATGTGCTTTAGCCAGTACATGAAAGACAAGGGTAGTGATGGCCAAGGAGGAGACACGCAGCTATCACCTTAAGTTCCACCCAAAACAACTTAGAATGACAACTTTCATTCTCATGATGACTTCTGCATTTTGTTTTTCTGGAACTGAAAGATACAAATTCACCTAAAAGAACTGGAAACCTTACCTATCTTTTAAGCAAATAAAACTCTAAGGGCCCAAAGGGCACTTTGGACATCATGCTATCGTTCACATGGTCTGACAAGCACAAAGTGCTCTACTTCAATGGAAGACGGGTGACAGGTGACACCTGGTTAGAAACCACTTACCAACATTGAAATCATCCTTGTAGCTTCTCGGGAAGGGCTGGGACTTGGGAGGAGGAGGGTAGCCACCTTTGCGACCTGTGGTGAGGGTGGTGAGTGTGATCAGCTCATTCTCCTGCAGATCCATGGCAAAGCTGCCACTGCTGTCGAGGAGCTGGAAAAGAAGACAGCCACGTTCACGGCCAGATGCCAGGGACCTCACGGGAGGGTGGGGGGGGAGGGCAGCCTCAAAGAAATACGCTTAGACAGTCTCTCCGTTAGGGCTTCTTACATACTCGGGGAAGACACAACACTGAGGCCCTTGACACTTTGTGAGGGAGTTTTACAAGTGTGTATAAATGATAGTTTACAGAAAGAATTCCACCAAGTGGAGGGCAAAGACCAAGAGGACCGAAAGTCTGCCAGCCTCCTCTTCCACTGCACTCCAAGCTCTTGAAACCTTGTTCAACTGGTGCAACTCAGAGGCCTGCTGCTTCTTCCAGAGCTTTCCTAATAGAAAAAACTGCACAAAACCTCACAGACAACTCAGCTGTTAAGCATAAGAAGCCTTTCACATGAGAAATAAAAAATTAAAATCTGCCGGGCGGTGGTGGCGCACGCCTTTAATCCCAGCACTCAGGAGGCAGAGCCAGGCGGATCTCTGTGAGTTCGAGGCCAGCCTGGGCTACCAAGTGAGTCCCAGGAAAGGCGCAAAGCTACACAGAGAAACCCTGTCTCGAAAAACCAAAAAAAAAAAAAAAAAAAAAATTAAAATCTGCTTACTACATGCTCGGTTTTAATTTCAATTAGTAGGTTAGGTTCATGTCACATTTATGATCTTAGCAACTCCGTCTTTCTAAGTGTTTCATCTCATCCTCGAGGCTAAGAATACCTATCTCAGAGGGGTGTTGAGAGGATTAGACCAGATGTTTATGAAGGGTTTGCTTGGCTCACCTCAATGTGTGGCCAGGGGGAACACTCTCTAGAGCACAGTTCCTGTGATAAGCATAGCCCTCTGCAGACATTAGAATCCCTGCATAACTAATGTGGGCACTGAGCTTGACCCCATCTTTGAAACTTTAATAACTTTTCTCTACTCTGAATTAAAGGGTTTAGTATCATATCTTGGCTTCAAGGGTAAAGAGGTGCAGAACCGTGAATATCCAGTGCTATATTCTGGCTCAGGATTAACTCCAGATAATATTCCTATGGGGGAAACCAATTTCATTATGCTATTTCCAGCAAATTATTACACAAGTGGAGAGTTTTCTAATGGGTATTTAATCATTGATCTTGCCTAGTTAATTGTCAGAACATTATTATTAATAAATGCAGCAGATTAAGTCAATTAGATGACATAAGATGCTTGCTTGGGCCAGTTCTTTCTTTGAAACCTTCCCTGAGGAGTCATCAAGTACCAAGCTCCAAATACCACTGGACTAAAAGCAAAACAAGGCAGAGTCCCAAGCTCAAGGTAGCCAAGGTGGTGGGGGAGCATTTACCGAGACCCACACATGGTCCTGCACTGAGTCAGGCGAGTCAGGCTTCAAAGAAACCGACATGAGCTGACCTATCTTCGCAGGTATGAAGGAAGCCATTCTAGAAGTTTACTCGGTGAGCAGAGGCCAGCCCCTGAGATCTGCCTCTGGAAAGTTGGTTTCTACCGCCTGAGGCCCGGGCGGGGGCGGGGTGGGGGTGGGGTGGGGGTAGGGTTGTCGTGTGATAGGACAGTGATGGTCACGTGGGGAATGTGAACTGATGGGAAACTGATGATACATAACAAAGCACTTCAGGCACACCACTCTAGCGGCAGTTGTGATGGCTGGCCCCCGAGACTCAGACTAGAGTCCGTTGAAACCTTAGGCAGTTTCTGAATGATGAGTCATAATGAAGAACGGGAAGAGGCAGCAGGAAGAAGAAGGAACAATAGTGAAGACGAGAAAGACGCTGAGGACAGAACTGCCTACGGTCAACCGAAGGGGACACAGCCCAGGACGGAGCAGGACGATCTCAAACGGGATGAACCTCTCTCCCCTGGGCGGCCGACAATGGAGGCACAGCCACAACACAAGCACGTGCTTAAGGACAGAGCACAGCTAGGGATGCAGAAGCTTGTCACACCTTCATCAGGATTACTATTTAAGAAAAATACGGGGACATGTTTATCTCTACTGCCCTGCAGCCATAAAACCAACTTCATTTTAATTCATTAATCAAATGTGTTCCTTTTTCCTGTCGTGACGCCCCAAACATAGGGATCAATTTTAAGACTACCCATAGAGAATCCAGTTGTTTAAAGAGAATTCTGTCCGATGGTCCTCCAAGCTTGGTGTACCACACCTGGAGCTCTTGTATTTCTCTCTGGGGAGAAAACACAAGAAAGCATGCTTGAAAGAGTCTTCATATCCTGAAATGAATACCTCAAAAAGAGCAATGTTCACTGTCTCAAGTTTCTGAAAGAGTCATCTCAATGTTGAAACAGTAACACTTTTGAAAACAGGAAGTCAAGCTCAAGCAAATCTTTCACTTCCTGTGAACACTAGGCACTAAGCAAAGCGGGCACCACCAGCAACAAACGCCTGCATGGAAGTCCCTCCACGCTGTCCTTCTCTGTTTTTGTTTCCATTAAGACACTTCACAGAAACCTGAAGAAAATCAGCACAGCCCTAAAGACACTGACTTGCATTGTTAGGGGATCGAATCAGCCCGGATCCTTATAATCCTGAACTGGGCATGCTCAGAAGCAGTCCAGTCATCATCTCCTTTTGAATATGTGTTCTTTGACCTTGCTCAGGTAGGCAAGAATCTGACTACTACGTTTCCTTATTAAACTACTACCTTAAAGTGAGTATGCTTGGAAACATGTCTGTTTTTAATGTGTTTTCCTCTGTGACTATGTCCAGGGCCCCAGGAGAAAACTGCCTGCTTCCTTTACAGGGGACAGCGCTGCAGACAATAAATCTCTCTACTCTTTTAACCCATTGCATTAACACCTGAGGACGCTGGCAGTGTCAAACACAGATCTTAGTGCCTTGGCCTCCCTCTGTACGAATCCCTGATAAACATTTAATTATTTTAAAATTCTTCACTTATTAGTACAGAATCTTAGTTTGCTTTCTTCTGTCTTCTTGTATGTTACTATCATCCACACAAAATGGAATTTCTTCAAAGGTAATCATTACATTCTGATCATTTTTTCTTCAAAGAATATATTATGATAAGTGCAAAAATACTAAGTGAATATTGATTTGACATGTGGACAAAAACTGAAGATCCAGTATGGATATTTAATAATGCCCTAAAAGTATCTTAAGTTATTTTTCATATTTTAATAATTATCATTAATTATAATCATTATGTAGTACAATAATTTCACTAAAGTCAGTAAATATGTGCCACATTGACAATGATAATTATTATAGACATATAATTCAAAAGAATATGAAAGAAGATGTATCTCCATCTTCACAGTGAATCACATGAAACAGATCCCCATGATTTTTACCAACTTGGTAAAAGATTTCAAGTGGCGTCTTAGAGTTGGGCGGTCTTAACATCTCAAGTGTCTCTGAATGTCTTTGTCTCACGCTTTAGATAAATGGACAACATGAGCTCGCACTATAAAAGGACATACAGCTTTTGGCTTGATTTCGGAGACAGCTGTTCAATAGCAAAAAGCCCATAGCAGCGCCTCTTTCTGAAGCCTTCCAGCTTCCTGGAGCCTGGCGTTTAATCAAATACAGAATACAGCTATCCCGCCCTGTGCTTTGTGAGCAAGCTCCCCTTTGCTGGGTGTTACAGAAACTACACTGCTTTCTGATGGCAATTATTAGATGTTTTGTCTTACTCCTTCTTTTATTAATAAATTTTGTTCTCTTAATTTTATGCATGTACATAATGAATTCTTGGTGGTCTCTCCCTTAGCCTCTCTTATCCTCCCTCTTCCCCCAGCCCTGCTAGCCGCCTAATCATTCCATGGTATCACAGGTGAGAAAGTACACTGGCTTCTTCCATGTCAAACCTAATAAGAGGTTTAAAGAAATTGATGACTTTGGGGTATTTTTGTTTAATTGGGCTTTGTTTTGTTTGTTTTTCAGTATAGAATACTCCATCTAAGCTTTAGTGCTTAAAAACTCATCGCCAGGGGGTGATGGCACAAATCCCAGCACTCAGAAGGGAAAGGTGGGATGCTCGGGAGGTTGTGGTCATCCTCCACTGTGCAGTGAGGCCAGCCTAGACCATGTATTATATAAGACCATGTATTTAAAAAAATGCAGGAGATTCAAGGCACCAGGACAGGTTCTATTTATACACAAATTCTTAGTAATTCTATAATACATGACTTCACTTAAGAATCAATGGCCTGTAATAGAACACAAAATGTTCATAAATTTTCAAAGATCTGTTTATCTGTTTCTGTATGCTCACATGTGACACCTTGGGAGGCCAGAAGAGGGTGTCAGAGCCTCTGTAGCTATATGTAGTCGTGAGCTACTTGACAAGCATGTAGAAAACCCACCCCCAATCTTTAGGAAAAACAGCAAGCACTCAACCACTGAGCCATCTCGCCAACCCTAACATAAATTGTGAATCAAAATAAAAGTTAAACATAAGTACTTACCAAAGACCCCTTTAGAGTGAAGGTAGCCACCTGGTGTGAGACATTATAATATGGTAGATATGGCCGTATACACATAGAATGTTTATGACTCTGAGGGAAGAAAGTCATGTAAGTTATCCAAATACCATACAAGCTATTCTGCGGAGGAAACATTATATAATCAATGCTGGAAGAGCAGCAAGAAAAAGCAAACACTTGTAACAATATGAATTCATTTCAAACTATAAAAAATACATTACTAACATAATTTTAATAAGTGTATAGTGTGTGTGCCTGGCCAAAGCTTAGAATAAGGAAATGATCTTAATGGTTACTTAAATACATAGAAACAGATCCAAAGAACCAGAACCATAAATAAAATAAATGTAACAGATGATATAAATATATACAGTGCTCTTTTCTTCTCTTGTATCTTTAAAAAAATACATATAAAGTAGTAATTTCACAGCACCCTGTTAGCTTCCTGTTGGAGGTGTGATATGTACAATAAATGGGAAAATATAAAAGCTTAAAGGGAATGGAAGGGCAGAAGGATAGCATCCCTGCATCTCCCAGGATCCAGTAAATGTAAGTCTGCAGTGGTCCTGAAACAGTAAGGTATGTGTGGTAGATTCCGAGACCACTGCTAAGATACAACTCCCAAAAGTGTAGTGAAAAGATCATTAAAGGAACAGAATGTAGCATCAGATCACACTCAATGTGAAAGAAAACAGCAGAGTAGGAATACAAAATAGAACAAAATCATGAATTGTGGAAAACAAATATCACAAGGCAAAAATAAACCCAACCATAGCAACACTAATGTTTATTCAACAATTGAACCAAAATGCCAGACCAGATTAAGAAAAGCAAGATCCAACTATGTGCTACTGAAAGGAGGAGATATGCTTTACATTCAAAGAAGCAAGCTGAAAACAAAGATGAGGGGAAAGAAGTATTCCAACAGATGCCACAAAAAAAGAAGCAATGATGAATAGTAGCAGAGAAAATCAATTTTAAAACAAAAGAAAAAGCTGGGCAGTGGTGGCGCACACCTTTAATCCCAGCACTCGGGAGGCAGAGGTAGGTGGATCTCTGTGAGTTCTAGGCCAGCCTGGTCTACAGAGCGAGATCCAGGACAAGCAGCAAAACTACACAGAGAAACTCTGTCTCAAATAACCAAATATATGAAGTTTAATGCCAGAAGTGAATACATTAAAATGCTGTGGGATGGTCTGTATGTCAAATTGCTCTGATTGGTCAATAAATAAAACACTGATTGGCCAGTGGCCAGGCAGGAAGTATAGGTGGGACTAACAGAGAGGAGAACTGAGATAACAGGAAGGCGGAGGGAGTCACTGCCAGCCGCCACCAAGACAAGCAGCCTGTGAAGATGCCGGTAAGCCACGAGCCACATGGCAAGGTATAGATTTATGGAAATGGATTAATTTAAGCTATAAGAACAGTTAGCAAGAAGCCTGCCTCAGCCATACAGTTTGTAAGCAATATAAGTCTCTGTGTTTACTTGGTTGGGTCTGAGCGGCTGTGGGACTGGCGGGTGACAAAGATTTGTCCTGACTGTGGGCCAGGCAGGAAAACTCTAGCTACAATAAAAACAAGAGAAATCTCAAAATAATATAAAACGAAAACTAACAGGAGAGAGAAGAGAGACAGTTCTACAATGGTTGATTTTACTTGTCACTATTAACAGCAGAGAAATGACCACAAACAACCAGACAGATGTAAGAAACAGCCGCGTGGAGGTCCACAGGCGGCAAAGCACCGCTGTGCTCCAGTGCGGGATTTCAGCAGGGCCCACATAGGAGGCAGCAGCTGCAGGTCCTCTCAAGAACACCAGGAAGTGTGCTTTCCAATCAGAATGGCATGAAATGAAGCATCAACAATGAAAGCTGCAAAATCCACAGAAACACCAATATAAAAATATCTTGGTATGGAGCAATTAAGTCAAGGAAGAAATCACAAAAAAAAAATTTAAAAAAAATACAGCCTGTGATCAAAAATGTTAAAACAAAACAAAATGGATAAACTAAAGTCCCATATACGGAGAAAGTGAAGGCTGTCCACACCTATATAGTTTTAGGTGTTCCTTCTACTTTAAGAAGCTAAACAGTTTTCAGAAGGGCAAACCAAATCCATAGGACTAAAAATGAAGACAATAAATACTGGTGTGAAATACTGAAATGCAGAAAATGAAGAAAAACAACATTATTCCCTTGGGAAGGTAAATAAACCTTCAGAAGACTAATCAAGGAGAAAGAGACATAACTTGGGTAACTAAGCATGGAAATGAAAGCGGACCATTCCTACCAGCTTAGTATGACTGAAAAAGAACTAAATGAGGGATTCTGTGCTCAACAACACAGATCAGAAAGACAAAAATGATAGAAAAATAGAAAACTCCAAAGCTTCTGAAAAAAATTATAACATCCAAAGAGACCTACAGTAAGTAAAAAGATCCTTAAACTAAAACTCCCATGAAGGAAAATCCTGGGGCCAGATGACATCATATATGAATTCTGTCAAACATCTAAAGAACACCAGAACTTCAGCAACATTCTCAAATCACTCCATGGGGTTAGTAGCTTCTCTCCTCCCAGAACCAACAGGACATCATGAGGAAAGGAAACTCTAAGGAATCTACCAAGTCAAATCCAACATCAAATATGAAAGATCATGCATGGCGTCAAAGGATGATTCATCACAGGAATGCATTGGTGGTCCCACATCCAGAAGCCAGTCAGTATAAAGTAGCACACTATTAGAGTGAGTGATGGGCAAAAGCAGCATGATCGTGCAGTCCATAAAACCCAGAACTCTGGATAAAAGGATTCAGCATGCTCCATACAAAAGGCAAGCTCCTCAACCTGAAGTTGTACACACTGGCAAAATCCCAGCAGCTAACAGCACACTCTACAGTGGCTTTTCTAGATGGGCAGCAGGGCAGGATAGCTAGGCAAACAAAGGACACACAAGGCTTCTAGGCCGGTGAAGGGAGGCCTGGAGGGAGGACTGAAAGGATCTTACTTACACGGTGTGCTCATTTAAACAAAATCCTCCAGTAATCCATAGAAAGAACCGGTTGTGAGGACAAGATCAATACATAAAAATCAATTGCATTTCTACACATGAGAAATGAAAATGAAATTGAGACAAGCCATTTACAGTGGCATCTAAAAGAATAAAATACTCAGCAATATTAATAATGAATAAATAAGTAAAATCTAATGATAATTTAATAAATAAATTTATTAAATAAGCAAAAAGAAATAGGGCTTCCACAACGAAAAAGACAGTGTATCATAGAGAAATTAAGTAAGACATGACGCACAGAAAGACAGCCCACATTTGTTGACTCAGGGTAGAATGGCATTGCTTCCCCACATTCCTATACAGAGTAAAGAAAATATCAAACTTAGGTTGTAAGCTTGAAATAATTAGTTAGCTACTCCTAAAACTTGTGTTGAAATCCAAAGTACCTGAAATAGCCAATCTTGAAAACGGTCAAGCTAGAAAACTCTCCCACCAAACCCTCACTCAAAAGTACAGTAATTAAGATGCAGTGGTAACTGCTAAGGCACAATTGTTACAGATTGCTTTTCAGCATGTATGTGAAGATAATCCAAGTGGAAAAACTGACTTTTCAAGACATGGTGAAAGGCAAGCTAGGTGTGCGCACACACACACAAGAGGAGGAGGCTGAACAAAGGCTAAACATCTCAGAAATAACAGGATCAGAAACCTAAATGTAAGACTTAAAACAATGGCAGTCTTACAAAAAAAAAAATACATGTAAACTTCAAATCCTCGATGTAGTGGGTAGCCATTCCAGCTTTGGTCTGGAAGTTCCAACCCCCATTGAGGCTTCGGTAACTATCACACCTACAAGGCAGGGCCAAGGTAGGGCCCTGAAGACCCGAGATCGGATGTGCTGCCCTCTCTTGGTTCCCGGACCCTGGACGCTAGAGGTAGACGGAACAGAGTTCTCCAGAGAACACCGCCAGACTGTGCTACGTCTTCCCCAGACCCTGTAGCCTATCCCTTCATTTGTGAATTACCCCACAAAATAAACCTCCCTTTTAACTACATGGAGTGACCTGAATAATTTCACCAATACCTCATGACCTTGGCTTAGTCAATCATTTCCTATGCATGATACTATAAATGTACACAAAACAAAAGGAAAAAAAAATGAACTTCACACAAATTTGAACTTTTTTACTTCAAAGAATTCCACTTAGAAAGAGGCAAGTTGGGCATAGTGATTCCAGCATTTGTGATGTTGACACAGCAGGATTATGACTCTGAGATCAGCCTGGCCTACCCTGCATATGCTGTAAGGATGGGAACAAATATATGAATGTCACATGTGTCTTCTGACGGGTTTTAGATAGATGGCATATGAAGAACTCTTACAATTCAAGAAGAAAAATGAAAATACTCATAACTTAAACGGACAGTGTAGCTCTAAGTAGACATTTCTCCAGTGAGAACATACAGATAGCCAAAAGGTATATGAAAATACAGCCAGCATTATTCGTCACTAGGAAAAGGAAAATCAAACTACAATAACACCCCCTCACACCCTTGAAAATGGCTGTAAGCAAGAGACGGACAATAATTGCTGGAGAGGACATGGTGGTACTAGAAGTCTTATGAACTGCTGGTAGCAAAGAGAAATGGTACAGGGAACTGGCAACTCTTCACTCTGTTAAGTTACTGTTTAACCCGGCAGCCCCACTCCTAGCTACACACCCAAAGGAACTGACACATTCGTTCCCAGGAAACCCTCCATAGGAGAGTTAACTGCAGCGTTCATAAAAAGCCATGATGAGGTTCAAGGCCAGCTATCCCAATAGATCTCTAAGGATAAAGAAGGCTTAGAAACAACGGAAGGAGCAAGGTCACCATCAGACCCTGTCTCCCATGGTTCTCCCAGGGAGCCAGTCACAAGACTCTTAGAGAAGCACCCTCCTATGCCCAGGAGAACACAATACCCTTCTTTTTTCTGAACACAAAGTTTCTGGTGGAGTACAAGATGCCCACTAGTTGAATATCAACAACAAAAAATTACCATGGTTTCAACGATGATGGTGAGGTTCCCTAAGCCATCAGTCAGAGCTACATAGCTTCCTCCTTTCTCTAGATGGCCAACTGTCTTCAGGTAATACCAGCCTGGTTGAGTAAACTGAGTTGTATGAGCTACAGAAAAGGGAGAAGAAAAGGTAAAGGAGACAACTTTAAAAGAAAACAGTCTACCGATTTGAATCTGAATAATTCTAAGCAGCTACATTCTATTTTAAGAAAGTATCTCCCAACTTTATGCTTCCACTTTTAAATACTTCAGCTGAAAGGTGTAACAGCAGGAAGGCTTTCTGAACAATGATAAAATTAAATGACCTGAAAACTCAAGAGTATTGATTGTGCATTCCTTTTACCGATGTGCAAAATGAAGTTACTCTTGCCCAGGCTTGCCCATCACTACTCATCCTATTCTACAGAACATGGAAGACTCAAAAGATTTAAAGAAAAAAAGGAAATTTTTAAAAGTTAGCAAATGTGTCTCAGGGCCATTTTGTGGTCTCAAACAAATCCATTTCTAAGTATATATATCACCGCCTCTAAATCTGGTCCTGAAAATACATTAGGCAATATTCCATGTTCCTGACAATTCCCCAAAGTTCACAAAGTAAGTATAACAACGCCAGCAACTGAGAGGTCATCTAACCAGCACACAGAAGTCTTGCTTAATTTTTCCACCATTTTGAAGAGCTACTTAAGGAACTTAGAATGTCATGATTACAATCTGAGAATAACACAAAAAAGAAAATTATCAAAATACGGGTTTAAAATTAAAGCAAGCTGACTTAGAATTGTCTTGCTTTGGAAGAAATTGGTTTTTATAAAAAAAAAAACTATGGCATAATTCTGAAGCAAAATAATTATAAATGTTAACTATCTTACTAAAATATTAAAGAAAAATTTTATTATTGTTATTTATTTTAAAGGTTATTAGCTATTAACATGGTTATACTCCTTTGGATGCCATTCATTATCTGCATAATCAACTTCTATTGTGACTGACATTATTGAAAAAGATCTGGGTTTCATTGGAAGTGTATGAATTCGACAGCCCTGTCTTTAAGCCATGTAAATCATGTCATGTCTAGTAGACATTTTAATTGATTTCCTCCCAGCTCTGAGAAACTCAACTCCATTTATAATTAATCTCAAATTGCTTTTTACTATTTACTTTTACTCTAAGATGGTTCTACCTAGTTTCTTCATTTCATATGAGAAACACAAAATCTTCAGCACATGACCATTTTTTAATCTATATGACAGTCATAATTTTATCTTTTTCTAAAATTCATATCTTCACTTAGTAGATGCAAGGACCAATATAAAGCCTTCCTATTTCACCTAACATGTATATTTATTTTGATTAATTTAATGATTATAATTTCTATTATTATTATTATTATTATTATTATTATCTAATATTATTCACTTACTTTAGTGAAATCAATAAAATGAAACTGATATAAAAGAATAATCCCACCGGGCGGTTGTGGCACATGCATTTAATCCAAGCACTCGGGAGGCAGAGGCAGGCGGATCTCTGTGAGTTCGAGGCCAACCTAGTCTACAAAGCGAGTTCCAGGAAAGGCGCAAAACTACACAGAGAAACCCTGTCTCAGGGAAAAAAAAAAAAAAAAAAAAAGAATAATCCCCAAACTCCTAGACATGCTGAGCTTAGTTGAACATTTCTAAGTATATTCATTCCATCAGCTATGACCATGATTAGGAATCATATACTTACATGATTACGTCCATCTCCATCCCTGGACATCCCTTTACCCTATGCTGCTCTCCGTTCCCTCTTTCTTCCCACTTTTTAAAGGCCTGGTCTCAGAATATCAAGTATGAAATTCAGAAAGTAGTCAGGTTATCCAAAATAATGTTATAATGGCACATCTCCCTTAAAATAGTCACACACTTAAAGCTTTCTGGTTTGTCTCTTTTGGGGAGAAAGATAGAATCTAGACATCCATACCTGATATCCAGATAGGAGAGTCTACTACGTAATGCCCACTCCATGGCTCCTGGGCTGTCATCAGTCCACTTCGCCCATAAGGCAATTCTTGATAGTAACTAGCCACCAAATTCCAAGCAATTGTGCTAAAACATTAGGGTGAAAAAAAAGAAACACCAAAATACTATGTAATAAAAACATAAATATCTAAAAGACTGGGGTAAAAACTTCTTTCATAATTATATGTAAATGAACATAAACTTTTAAGTGCCCCAAACAAAACATATGCTTCCTCAGTTCACTATCATCTTTAAAAATCCAGTTCAGTGTTCATCTAAGCATTTTAGTGGTGAATCAGAGAATTAAAAGTAACACACACATACACATACACAAACACCAACACACACATGCATACACACATATATTCTTGTACAATACACACACATATATATTCTTGTACAATGCACACACATATACACTCATGCACACACACACACACACACACACACACACACACACACACACACACACACGCACGCAAGAATTCTGCTTAACAGTAGTCAAGCCAAAAGATGAATCATGTCATGTCAAAAGATGAACTTTGACATGTTGAAAATTTGAAACAAGTACAAGTAAAAGCCTGTCTATAACTGTTCTCCCATTGACAGCCTTTCAAATACCCCAATTTCACAATGTAATTTCCTTGAACTTGACTTGGAACTGCTGCAGTTTTAGAGCAAGAACTCTTAGTCAGACTGGCTGGGTTCAGATCAGGACTCCACAACCTAACCTCTGTTGACCGCTGTTCCCTCACCTGTGAACTGACGGTGATGATTGCACCTGGATCACCAGGGAGCAGGGAGGATTAGATGTATTGACCCAACTCTAGCCTCTATTATTCCTGCTTCCGCTGAAGTACTAACTCAAATAGCTTGCTGGTCTGTTTGCGGTCCTTTCTTTCAGATGACAGACACTAATAATTTACAGCACATACTGAGCTCCAGCAGCAGAGCTGTGACCCTACAGCTCTCTGAAAATTCAAGCACAAAACATAAGTTTTTATAGCTGGCTGGGTTCCTTACAGCTGAAAAACAAACAGCACCCACCCCAAGACTTTCATTTCCCTGATCAAGTGTTCTCCCAAGACACAAAGGTACTCTGGCACTCTTAGAAAATCTAAGCCTTCTCATTACCACAATATAAAGTAAAAATAATAATGCTGATTAAATAAACACACACTATCAATGGACATCATAAGATCTTGTATAATATTAGAGGGACCAGCCTTAATATTATACATCCCAGGGGCTCAGGAGAGAGAACTACTAACGGTGAGGACTATTTTCAGGAGATAGAAACTCAGTACACCGAGCTCTATAGTCCACTTACTTTAATTCCTCTGGCATAACATCCACATATACACAGCTTCAGTTCTGTTCTCGTGCATATCTAGCTCCTCTCTTGCCTGATTTCTCTCTGTCCCCTCTAGGTTCTACCTTAATTCCTTCATCTAGTTCTGTCCCTTCTAGGTTCTCATCTATCTAGTTCTTTCCCCTATCAGCTCCTCTCCCATCTCCTTCTCTCTCATCTGGCTCTTCCTCATCTTGTTCTTCCCCATCTGGCTCTTCCTCATCTTCCATCTCGTTCCTCTAGTACTCTCTTCTAGCCCTTCAACCTAGTTCTTCCCCATCTCAGTTTGTTCCTCTCAAGTTCTTATCCACCTAGTTCTTCCATTCTCTTTTCTCTTCTCCGCTCTCTCTGTGCCCTGGAAGTCCTGGTATATATACACTTACAAGCAGTATTCCCTTAGCAGTGCAAAGACAGGCTTCCAGGGTCAAATGGAGGGGCAATAAGAATCACATAGGGAGGCAATAACCGTTAATTATCATTTGCAACCCCAAAGGGAAGTGACCAATGGGGAAATGAATTAACTAAAGGCTAAATTCAGGTAATATCTAAGAAGAGGGCTCTTATGTGCTCAACTATAGTCTTAAACGTGATTAGTAGAAAATGTTAAGAATCTATAAGTTGCTAGGTCAATGGGAGAAAATAAAACTGTCTTCTTTTTTCCTGTGGCTCCTATCTGTCCAAGCGATCTGCTGTTTTTCTGCAGGGTGGGGGAAAGTGTGCTCAGTCGCTAGGCAACCTGTGTACAGCTAGATGCCTTTGGTGATAGTTAAAGTGAGATCTGGAACTAGAGGTAAGGTTTGGGAAAGGAGGAAGTAAAGCTTAATTGACACATCTGCCTGCCAGGCCTTCTCAAACAGGTAGCCCGGATGCTTAAGTCTGTTCTTAGAAAGTACAGAGGTATCTCTGATAAGGAACTTTCCTCCATCTGGGGATGGACCTGGCCGGATGCTGCCAATGATGATAATTACAGGGAGGCTTGAACTGGGGTTCTGGCTGAGCATAGTTGTCAGCGCAGAAGGTTATCTAAATATTCCTAGAAGTGGTTAGATAAGGAGTTGGAGGTCTATAAAGTTAGTAAGGCCGTAAGAAAGGAGGGTCTGAGCTGAATTGTGTAAAGTTATTACTGAACATCCACCTGACCTAGGCAGTGTCTCCTTGTGGAATTTGTCTTAAATCAGGAGACTTGCATGTGGACTGTTATCACTGCTAGTCCTTGAAAGTGGTCAAGGGAGATATCTGATTCCAGAGAAAGCCTTTCCTGAGGCTGTTCTCCAAATACCTGGAATGTGTATGTCCAGAGAGTGATCAGTCCACACCATTAGCCCTTCTTAGGGAAAAGTCAATTGGGAAAACTATGAAGGCACACATGATTTTCATAACAGAATACAGCTGATCTATAACAAGCCAAGTAACACCAAAAACTCCTTGGGATTTGGCTTCCTCTAGAGGAATTCCCTGATCCCTCCAGGTAGTGACTTTGCCATAACCAGCTGAGTTCTTATGATATATTCCTGTGGCCTGCAGCAATAAGAGTTCCCATGATTTGGGTCACACATGGCTGGCATCCTCTATTGGTACACTGGTATTTCTGAAACTTGGGCATCATCAGAATTGCCCCGAGTACTGACCAGATATATAAGTTCCAGGATCCTGGAAGTCTGAGGAGCTGTCTAGAAACTAGTTTAACAAGCATTGCAGGATGACTTAAGACAGGGCATAGGTAGGAAATACTTCTTTATGTAACAGAATATATGGAAGTAATGATAAGTATCTGGATATGGTGATGTATGACTATAATTTCAGCATTCAGGAGGTTGAGCGAGAATATAGAGAATTCAAGGCCAGCCTGAGCAACATAGGAAGACTGTATCTCAAAAACAAAACAAAAAAAAACATGGGAAGAAAAGAGATGAAGTAAAAATATACTTAACATGAGGGAAAAAGTCATAATGCCTTGTTAAGTGAGAAGCAGCTTACTCAACAGACCATATACTAAGGTGTCAATTTATTATTTAAATGTATATAAAAACAGGAGACCAGCCAGGCGGTGGTGGCGCACGCCTTTAATCCCAGCACTCGGGAGGCAGAGGCAGGCGGATCTCTGTGAGTTCGAGGCCAGCCTGGTCTCCAAAGCGAGTTCCAGGAAAGGTGCAAAGCTACACAGAGAAACCCTGTCTCGAAAAACCAAAAAAAAAAAAAAAAACAGGAGACCATTTTAAGAACCATTGTTTTAAGATGGCAACATTATAGGCAGCTTTGTCTCACTTGATACACATCTTCATTTTCTCAACTGTCTGCAATGAATATGCATTATCCTAATACCAAGCAAGCCACCACAAAAGTATGTATATTGGCTGGCTTTTATTAGGCTTCTAATTATTTTATAAGGCTAATTTGGATCTAATTACTCCTAAGCTATCATCAAATCATTTAGGAAGTGTCCCCTTTAAGAATAAAAGGGATTGTGTTGTTCTTTACAAACTTGGTTTTGTGAAGAGTTAGATAAAGTTAGGAGATCCCATAAGGAGTCGGCCACTGATAAAGTTAGGAGATTCCATAAGGAGTCAGCCACTCAGGGTAGAAGTGAGTACCAACTAAAAGCTACTGCCCTGCTGTTTTTTTTTTTTTTTAAAGTAGATATGAAAAGAAGGTGTGGAGGCGGGTAACAAATCTACATTAAAAGAGACAGGGACCAAAGCTGCTAAATGGAATGCACGGACCTGTGCTCTATCTTTCTTTAAAATAAATAAATAAAAGTTACAAATGACATTTTAAAAATATGAATAAAGACTAAGAATTAGAAATATTTTTATATGCTCATATTTATGAAAATGATATAATCATGTGATAAAATATCCTTATGTTTTGGAGATATATACATGTAAATTATCAAAAATCATTGCACTGCTTGAGTAAACTGTTCCCCAAGAAACCCAACTTACTTTATACAGACTCTTCTCAAATATAGAAAAGAAGATATAGATTAGACAAATATTAAGCATATGTAGATTAAGTCAATAAAGCATATGTTTACAACCACTGAATCTAGGATATAAAATTACAGTGGTCCATTAAATTTTTCTACTTATTGCATTTTCTAAAATTCATTATAATAAAAGCCCCCCCAGGAGGGGCTTGGATCTGCCTCTACTAAATGTACCAGGCTCTGCTGACTCCCCATGGGAGGCCTTACCTTCCTATAGGAGGGAATGGGGTGGGGAGGAGGCTGGAGGGACAGGAGGAGGGAAGAGAGGGATCTGTGATTGGTATGTAAAAGGAATAAAAAATTTCTTAATAAAATAAAAGCCCCCCCCCAAAAAAAGATTGTATAACTTACGAGGTCATATTGCCATTGATATAATTCTGATTCAATATGCGACCCCAGCAGCCTGCACCATCATCATCGTTGACGGTGCTAAAATCTTCAGACGACCAAAGTTTCTTCCCTGTCATCTCTGCATTCCACACTGTGTGGGTTCCAGGATAATGGGCTCTAGAAGAGAAGGGGACCAGTGAGGAGCAGTCAGAAGGTACCACTTCTTTGCATGAGATGAGTAAATTGAAATACAGCTCTTCGCCAAGGTTTGCTATTTTAAAACGGTCAAGCAGTTTCCAGAAGACAGATGAAAGATGGGAAAGAGAGATCTGCTTCCCACTCTTCCATTGCAGGCAGGCACTCTACAAACAGCAAGTAAACAGAAAGGCAGAAACCTTCATCCACACACAGAATAAAATGACAATATTCTGGAAACGGTAAATGGATAGAAGTAAGTTGACTGATGAAGGTTAATGCGGCCACTGCCTGGACCACTGCAAGTGGAGAATAAGGTACAGAAAGACTCAGCCTTTCCAGGTCGAGCTGGGGAGCTCTGGACAGGAGGAAAACAGTCAGGAGGAGGCCAAGCAAGGTGTCTACTCTGTCTATGAAGAAGCAATAGATTCTCCCTCTCCCTTTAGAGACAGAAATCTTGACATTTACTCCAAGTCAAAACACTAAAACAAGACCACAAAAGCCCCACGGCTAATAGTGTACCAGTAATTCTTGTATGAAAAGAATGAAGTACACTGAGAAAATTAAGTTACTGTCTCAGAGAAGTAGTTATTCTCAGTCATGGGGATTTTAGCCCTGAAGGAGCTAGACAGCCATATCTGGACACTTTGTCAACTGTCCCTGCTGAAGCAGGAGAGGTTTATCAGCTGAACCTAGTAAGCAGAGCCCAAGAATGCTGCTACATGTTCTGTAAGACAGAGGACAGATTCCAATGACAAAGAAATACGAGGAAAGACATCAAAAGTGCAGCAATTGAGACTCTGTCCCAATACGCCAAGCCCTTTCATTCCAGCATATGAACAAACTCAGTCTGGTAATGTATAAATATATACTGATTGTTGCAAGAATAAAATACTGCCTAATGACAATTGTAGACACTACTGATGAAATGAATCAACACGACTAAAATATTAAATGTAAATTAGAAACTAGATTGACAGGTAATACAATAATAGGAGTACATTCACTAACTTCAAGAATAAGATTATAAACTTTCCAGGTTAATTATTCACACAGTTTTAGCAATGCAAGCAGAATAATGAGATTTATTATATCACAATTCTAATCTTTGTACTTTCTTGGAGTATTATAACACCAAAAGATGACTGTAAAGACCTTTTTTTTTTTTTTTTTTTTTTGGTTTTTCGAGACAGGGTTTCTCTGTGTAGCTTTGCGCCTTTTCCTGGAACTCACTTGGTAGCCCAGGCTGGCCTTGAACTCACAGAGATCCGCCTGGCTCTGCCTCCCGAGTGCTGGGACTAAAGGCGTGCGCCACCACCGCCCGGCAAGACCTTTTAATCAGTATCATTCGAGGCCAGGTCATGTTAGCAGAAAGCCCTGTTTGGGAATTGCTTGTATCAGTAAAGGTGTGTTGAGGAATAACATGAATGCAGGAAGAACTGAATCACTCACGTGTCGCACATAACAGAGAGCACTACAGAATCTCTCTACTGGAGAAAAGTGAGCCTCCAACAGGACCGTGTCGAGTGGCTCAACACAGCTGAGCCAGGCTGGAGGCTGATTACAGGCACCCAGGAGCCCCTCAGCTCCTTCTAGGTCTAAAAACTTCATGTACTTACCTTATTACGCCAAACTTGAAAAACCAATCTGCTGGTCTTCAAACTACTGATGACTGCAAGCCTATAATTCCAACACTCTTACATTTTATCTTTATACCCTTACCTTTACACTGTGATCATAGTGTTCACTTTTGGCAATTCAGTCAAACATTAATTGTCAATATATTAAAAGTTAGGGTGCTCCTAGTTGGCATTCAGGAAAATGTGTGTCTGATAAACCTGTTGTTGTTGTTGTTTTCTGTGCCCAGGTCTCATTCTGGTACCCAAGTTAGCCTAGAACTCACTATGTAGCCCCAGGCTGCCCTCACACTTAGGGACCCTCTCACCTCCGCCTTAGTATGCTGGCATGAACCACCATACCCGGCTTGTCTGATGTAGCCAATGAAAATATACTCATATCTATATTTTTAAAGAAGGAAAATCCTAAAAAAATTTGTTATGCTATCATTGATCTTTAGAAGGTCATAAAAGAAGTAAAAATTAACTCTGTCTTTATAAGAGTCCACATCTTCCAAACTATTTCTACATTTTACAATTTTATAATCTGAACTATATTTCTCTTATCTTAAATATATCTCATGTATTTCTCTGAGCTTTGTTTATATCTTTTGGTTTATTTAATTTAATCTGGCATATCAAATTTTCACTCAACATGTAATCAAAAAACTGGTTTTTGATTTTGAAAATTAAGTTTCAAAACCCAGTCTGTCTCCCACTTCTGACACACCTAAGTTAGACTAGCCACATTTCCAGTGATCCATAGACATGTGATGAAGGCTACTGTATCAGACAATGCAGGCCCGAGGCCTTAACAAGGTCAGTGACAGGCAACAACAAGCCTTTCAGGAATGGCAGAGGCTCCTTACGAGAATGAGATGCCAGAGCAGAATCCAACTAAATCAGGCAATGGTGTCTACCGTGAGGAAAAGTGCACAAGGCACTGGGGAGAGTGGGGCCCAGCAGAAACATCCCAGGAGGCACAGCGACTCCAAAACTAAAATCTGCTCATACAGCACAAGCCACATGCAACATGAATGGTGCCAGGAGATACACATTTCCTCTGGCAGGCGGAGCCAAGGAACGAACATTTCATAAGACCGAAACCTAGAAACAATACAAATAACCACTGAGGGAGGATTTAAAAGGTCACACATACAAAACTGAAACAGTCACAAAACTGCTCAGCCGGGTAAGCATTCTAGGTCATTCTGACCTAGGGAGGGCTTTCTGTAGTAAAGATTGCCATCATGAAGATCATAAACAGGTAGGTGTAGTGACTCACGCCTGCAATCACATCTCCTAGGCAGAAGTCATAAGGATTGTTTGAGATCAGCCTGGGCCAGAGAAAACAACAAAAAAGAAAACCCCCACAAAAGGCCTTTCCTACTTCTCTGGAATTTGTAATGAACAACCGATGAGCATCCTACATGGTCAACAAGGCTGTTATCCAAGTAGCTTGTTGAAATCTTGAGGTCTGCCTGCTTCTGTCTTCTGAACATTAGGATTAAAGATATGCATCATTTCATAAGTTATAACAAATAAAAGTATAGAAGTGATCCAAAATGTTAGCAGTTCAAAGTTCATACCAAGTTCTGAGAAGACATTCAAGAGAAATGTTTCCCTTGTTTACTGGTGGCATGCATGTCTGACTGACTTGCAAACTTTAAAGACAGAACATCCTTTTCCATGATTTTTTTTGTTGTTGGCAAAGTTTCTATGTTAAAAAGATGAGAACTGCTGTATTGATTTCCCTTCTTGATAAATTTCTAAGTGTTCAGTACAGGGGAATGCTACTCTCTTCTATGAAATGCCATCTTAATGAAATTTTAAACGGGCAAAATTATTCCTTGGTATTAGAGTCAGGTTAGTAGTTACAATTTGAGGTAAATGCATAGAAAGGTTTCCAACCGGTCTGGGTACTTTACAATTTTCTAGGTGATAGGTCCATATGTATGTTCATTCTGTGGTAATTTATTACCTCACCTGGCATGAGAAATACCAATCATAGATGTAATTAGATCCTCATCACCACTGTTTAAAACAAACAATAACAACAAAACCAAAAAAAAAAAAAAAAATAGGGCACAGCATAGGAGCATAGAGCAGTTCTCAATTTCAGCACAACCAAAATGGTTGGCTGGTTAATTTTAGATATGGGAGAGGTGACCTGGTACTCGAGAATTGCAAACGCTTCGGGCATCCACCCACAAGATGCTAACAACAGGCCTTTATCTAACTAAGATAGTTACAAATAGTCCCAGAAATTGCCCAATGTTTCCTAGGAGACAAAATTGTCCCCAGCTGGAACAACTGATGTCTAGCTCTGAATCAGAATGACCGTGACCTGCAGACACAGACACAAGACTGCCAAGTAAGAAGACACCTCCTTCAGCAAGAACCAAGAGGCGGAACCCACAGCGGCAGATTCTGCATTACCAGAATCATGGTATAGATCATTTAATAACAGAAAATAACAAGGAAAACCCAAATATCAGTTGCATCAAAACTGTAAATGTGGGCAGGAGAGATGGTTGAGTGGTTAATAAAGCTTGCTGTTCTCTTCAGGAAGCTGCAAATTCAGTTCCCAGACACCCACATCAGACAACTCACAAACTCATTATCTCTGCTCCAAAGCATTCAAGACTTTCTTCTGGCCTCCAAGAGCACCTGCTTACCTGTGGCCTATAAATGCACACACACACACACACACACACACACATTTAAAAAGAAAAGAAATATGATTTTTTCAGAGCAGTATTAAAAAGCAAAATTTAATTAAATGCAAGAGATGTTTCTAAAATAAAATGACCTTGAAAGTAAAAAAATTAAAGGTAATGAAAACTGAAAGCAGGATTCCTCTTAATCTCAAGGAAGAATTCAGTTCAAGACATACTGAATGAGTCACAGAATGACATTTCTTTCGATAATAGTTAGAAAGTACAAAGATAAAACATTCATTATCTGTATGCCAAGGAACACTAAACACTCTCCTGCAAACAAAACTGTAAGACTGAAAGAGTCAGTACTGTACTATAAGAGGAAGGTGCAAGGCAGCTCCACACAGACCATGTGGACAGTGTAATTAGTATACAGAGCATTTGAACTATATCAGTGAATTTATATACTGAACCCAATCTGTATCCTATTAGAAAAAATATCCTAATTCAGAAAGTAATTCTTGAGAAAAAAGAATTTTAAATAATACATTTACCACTATATGACCATAATCAATAAAACATTTATTAATGAGAACAAAAGAAATAAAGCTATGACTCAGAAGAAAAGTAATTTCACTAAAATACTCATATGAGTAATGAGTAACAAAACACCAAACTTCTTCATGAAGTACAATAGAAACTACCCTTCCATTCTAACAGCCTTCCTAGCCAAACACATTCAAGAAGAACAGTCTTGCCTCCCTCAGATCTGAGCTTTTCATGTAAGTTCTAATGCAAAATCTTCCATTTTTTACTGTGTAGAATGTTTAAATATAAATGTACACTCTCTTTGAAAAAAAAAAACAGCCCAAATGTAATTTACTCTCATCAGTTTCCCAGAAGAACAGGCTAGACGTGTCCTAAAGCACAAGGGTGAACTGCTGAAATCTAGACTAAGAAAACTTCTGCACAGAACAAGCTACCCAGTCACTCACATAAGTTATAAGGAGAAGACAGGCAAGGAGTTAAGGGGCTGAACTACAAATCAATCAGAAGAGACGTCATTACCAACTAAGAGATGACTCTTAAATGGATCCAGAGCCAATCAACTACAACTAGAAAATCAGAGTAATATATAGTTGATAATATCAAGAAACAATTACCTGCTTAGGTATAATAATGGTATTATTTATGGCAAAGGGGAAAGAATCTGCAACTTTATATAGACATGATGAAATCTGTAGGGAAGAAATGCAAACATGGAGAAGATAGACACAGAAATGACAAATGGCCACGGGTTCTTACTTTCTGAGGCTGAGTGATCAGAACATACATATTTATATTTCTGCTTACTTTGGTAAACATTGAAAACTCTTGTGTGGGGGCATAGCTCAATGGTAGAGCACTTGCCTTAGCATGCATGAAGCCCTGGGTTTGGTCCCCAACACTGAAAATTAAAAATAAAAATAAAACACTAAGAAACAATAAAATCCAAAAATTTTCCCTTAGAAACAAAGTATATGCAGAGATTAAGCTATGTCAAAACAGATGAAAAGTAAAATTTCACACATATGCAGATTCTATTTTTAAATGCTTATATACCATCATGACACATGGAACATATGTTTACTTTTAAAAATCAAATTGCTGAACCCAATTCAGTTAGGCCCCAGAAAGCTGTAAGGCAGAAATGGACTAATAAAGAGAGTCAAATGTCTAAGAGTCAAAATACTAAGGATACAAGAATAAAGACAGTCAGTGTATATATCAAACCACATACAAAACTGTTCATGTATGAACACTGAGTTCCAGGGAACCCAAGCTAGAAATGAAGTTCACAACATCACCTTGGTAACTTCTAAATACCTGCCTCTTAATCTAAATAAAGCCCCATTTTATTAATCTAAACATTATCTCATTTATTTACAAAGTCACCAATACATTTCATTGTCATAGAAGGAACCCCAAATACACATCTCAAAGAGAAAGGAATGAACTGTGAGTGAGCAATGTCGTAGTGAGTAAATACTACCATAAAATGTAATCACAGGAGCGGAGAAGGTGAGAAGAAAGGCATAGCCAACACCCGATAAAGAAACAACACACTGTTGGTTTTCAAGGTAAATTGCACCTTACCCTATGACATCAACCGCCTTCCAGAGGTCATGGTCTAGCAGCATGGAAGAAGAAATTGGCTCCCAGAGATTATCACTTGCTATGATTTTCACTTGCTGGAGACCTTGATAATCCAGCATTTTTCTTAATTCCTTTGGATACATAAACAGAACACAGCTTTTAGTTGCTGGAATATGACCAAAATAGCCAGAGTATCTTTCAAAAATCCTGCATTCTGATGACAGTTGCACTGCTTCTCAACAGGAGTGAGTTTCTGTGATAATACTGTGGAGGCATTTTCCTCCTGAGTTTAAAATCCAGTTAGACAATAGGAATTAGGAAGATGGAGGAGACAGGTGTACATAAAACTCATTAAACAGTATTACATAGAAATAATGCTATTTTTTCCTTTTTATTGCGTTCTTCCTCAAATTTTCTATGTAGACATAATGATAAAATTGAGATATTATCTGTACTGTGTGGTAAAATACTCCAACATCTTATTTTAAGTATTTCTCATTATCTTTAAAAATTCTATTACTATTGAAAAGTATCACAGTTCTTAAATTTTTATATACCATATTTACTATAAATAGAACTGTCCCATTTTTGCTTTCCTGTCTCTCATGCTTATAAACAGGGTAGGAAATAAGATCTGCTTGCAGGACCATTTGCCTACAAACTCTTAAGGAAGACACAACACTCTATCAGGCAAACCAACACTCAGAACACCAAAATGCATAGACTGTCTATGTGGAAAACAGGGGCAGAGGAAAGGACACCAATTTATCCAGGACTGGAAGGAACCGATTCTATACCAAAGGCCTTTCTTGGTTAACTGATACAATCAGCCTGGCTGTAAATCCTCCCAATCCTGGACAGTCTCTGACATAAGCAGCAGGTGTTCAATGACAGCTACCAGTTAACGTAAGGAAAAATGAAGGTTTTCCACCAGCTCTGATTTTTGATGTTACAGTGCTGTGGATATTGCTCTGTATAAATAAAATGCTGATTGGCCAGTAGCCAGGCAGGAAGTATAGGCAGGACAAGCAGAGAAGAGAATTCTGGGAACAGGAAGGCTGAGTCAGGAGACGCTGCCAGCTGCCGCCATGAGTACCAACATGTAAGATACTGGTAAGCCACAAGCCATGTGGCAAGGTATAGATTTATAGAAATGGGTTAATTTAACATAGAGGAACTAAATCACAAGAAGCCTGCCACAGCTATACAGTTTGTAAGCAATATAAGTCTCTGTGTGTTTAGTTGGTTGGGTCTGAGCAGCTATGGGACTGGTGGGCGAGAGAGATTTGTCCTGACCGTGAGCCAGGAAGGACTGGAGAAAACTCCAGATACATTACAATTTATGAAATTTCCAATGAATGTACTCTTTTAAAGAAGCAAATAATAAATTCTCTAATTAAATCCATGCTGCCCTTTACAATAGTTGGTGTTCTAAAATTTATGTTCTTATATATTGTCCTAGGTGCTGCAAGCGGCAGGAATATGTAGTATGAATTCAGCTGAATATGATAAAGCTATACCTGGAAAAACAAGGCATTCTTCCAGAGGAACCCAAATCTCAAGGTGTATTTGGCATTATTCGGCTTTTAATACATCAACTGTTTCCTGCTATGAATTTCTTGTGAGCTCTCATACCTTCCCCAAGAACTTCTAATAGTGCATTTTATCTGATACACTTCTCTAGCATTCAAAGCCTAAAGGCAGACAGGACAAAGCATTTCTGACCAACCACTAAGTCTCCTGAATTTAGGTAAACACCCTCATGGAGACACAGCCTGTCTCCTAAGCCTAGGAGACAGGTGAACTTAGGTGCATAGCTTTGTTTCTTATGCAAATGAAGTTCAGATCCTCCTTTCTCTTACAGTCCAAGTAGCACTCCAGAGCAACTGACTCAGAACAAAAATGGCTTTTTTGGATATCAGGTGCAGTGAAGCCATGAAGGCAGGTTTCATAGCGACACAGAAATAGAGACACAGTTACATTTTAGTGACTCACAGACTCTCTTACCTAACCACCTGTAAGAGTATAGTTGGAGCACATTTATGATAAACTCATAATGTTTCACCTAACCACTTATAAGAATATATTTTTAGCACATAAATTCCCTTTCTGACTTATTCCAGGCCTTATTTTGCCCCCACCTCCTTTATTCTCTCCCCTTTTGGGTTGCAGATGAAGCTGACTCACTGCTCTTGTGGGGACCTTGGAAGCCTTGCATTGTGTTGTGAGAGTTACTGCTTGCAAGGTGGCAGACCGGTTCCAGGAGAGGAAGGGGAAGGAACCAAGATGGAGAGAAATGAAGATGAAGATGAGGATGAGGCAAAAAGAGCTTAGTTAGAACTAGGATAGAACAGGAGGAAAAGGGACAGAGAGGAGCTAAATATGAGTAAGAACTGAAGCTGTGTAGATAGAATTTAATCTCAGAGGAATAAAGTGGGTGGATGAATAGAATTTAATCTCAGAGGAATAAAGTGGACGGATGAAAGAGTTTGGTGTACTTAGATTCATTCCCTCAGATTACCCCCGCCTTAGCGTCTTCCCCAGGACTCTGGGAGAAATTTCCTCGGGGATGGTCCCTGAGGAAATTTCAATACCTAGGTTAGAAAATGTAATGGAAGTTAGAGTGGCAAGTTGAATCCATCTTTCAAGGACTCTCATTTGAGCCCAAAAGGTCAGTAGGATGGAGAATCCCTTAACTTACATTAGGAAATCAATTTTATGTTTCATTACTCAAGTTTTTTTTCTTATTCTTACAGAAAGGAAAAAAAAACAAGTCAATTATGCATTTATTTATCACTGTCAAAACTTAGTCTAGTCTTTATGGACTTACTCCTAAACAATCATCAGGAATTTTGTGTATATTTTTATATGCATTATAATTGAAAACATTGGTAAATGCACATAATCTGTACGCTGTGACTTATAAATCATTTTCTGTCTCATAGTATGATTATAGCACTCTGTACAAAGTTTTATCATATTTCAAATGTTGTTTTTATTGGGTAGTCCTTCCCTTACAAAAACTATAGCTATTTATCTATTTACAAGTAAAGAAGGAAAGATGGTCTGGAAGGCCCAGAGACTTCACATCCACATCTGTCTAGCACTCTCAGATACTAGAGACTTCACATCCACATCTGTCTAGCACTCTCAGATACTAGAGACTTCACATCCACATCTGTCTAGCACTCTCAGATACTAGAGACTTCACATCCACATCTCTCTAGCACTCTCAGATACTAGAGACTTCATATCCACATCTGTCTAGCATGCTCAGATACTAGAGACTTCACATCCACATCTGTCTAGCACTCTCAGATACCAGAAGGTGCTTTTCAGACATCATGATTCCAAACTACCAGGAAGCCAAAGTCAATCATAAATATAACTACACAGCAAAAATAATCTTAAAATAAGTGATACACTTTGCAGAGTACATAAATAACTATATATATTTTACTCTTAAAATCAAATCCCCCTTCTCTCCAGAAGCCATCTCACCACACAATAAGGACCGTGTATTCATTAAGGTCATATGAACTGAGCACCTCCCTATATTCATTTGTCATGATTTAACTCTACAGCAGGAATTTCAACAGATCACAGAATCTAATAAATCCTCCTGTTATAAAAATAGAAAGTATAAATTAAATGTATCTATATCCTAAGACATTTAGTGTAGGAAAACTTAAGGTCAGAAGAAAAATAAAGTCTGACTTCAAAACACTAATAGTAAATCTAGGTGCAATAATTAAATTACTAATTAAAAGAAAGTGGAAACCAAATGTTAATAATTACAATGTTCCTAAAAATAAAATAAACACTGCCATTGCTATGCTAGGCACGCACTAACTTCAGCATTCATTCTTGCCTCTTTCTGACTCATAAAGCTCATGACCTTCCACTAACAATCATGTACTTCAGTTTTCTAATAAACCCACTGTGCTAACTTCCATACCCAACCCACTCCCACATCTCTATGAACAAGATCTCCTAGAAAGAGCAGTTAGATTGATCAGAACCTCAGTAATGGGGAGGGGTTGGGATATGCCAGGTCCAGAGCCTAGTTATAAACTCATGGGCTGTCTTTAGCCCCCTAAATCACTATTCCTTGTCCACCTCTGTGTTGGACCTAACATCCCATGACATAGAGCATTTGGGGATGTATTACTTAACAGAACTCTAGTTTCTACCAGCCAAGGGGCTCAAAGTATCATCAGACCACATCTGAGGCCTACAGCTGATCATCCTGCTTTGCTGTAACTACCCATTTAATATGTCCACCAATGCATAAGACAAGTGTCTTGTTTGTGATTTTTCTTTTTTCTGTTACTATACCATTTCATAAAACTGCTTCCACATTGGAACCTGAAATTGGGAGTAACCTAAACCCTACACCATGGTCACTGGTATTTGTCTCCAGAATAAATGACCTCTTAGCCTTGGTTACTGCATTGGCACCACCTTTTACCACCCTACTTCATGCTTGCAGCCTGGCACTGACAGTCACCTCACTGTGGCTGCAATGGATCCTCTCCAAACGATACCCTACCTCCTTGCTAACTACAAATGTGTTAAGATGTGCCATCACCCCAGTGACCACAGTAGCCTGCTGTCGGGCTCAGTGTCACTCTTGCTCCTCTCTTGTCTGACCCATCTTTCTACACCTTTCAGCTCTGACTTCAGTACCATGTGCCTGCCTTAGTAACTGGGGAGTGCCTGCCCACATACTCTTGAGTTCCTGCCACAACTATACAGAATCTCTTTCACCAGACTTCCCCAACCAAGCTAGGGAGAAGGTTCATGTCTTCTAAGTATTTTCTGAAAAGTCAGTATTTTCATTATGCTTTTAGAAAAATTACGACTAATATTTTCTCTCTATCCCATTGCCAAAACTTCTTTTGAGCAGAAACAGTATTCCACATCATTGCATTCCAAACATAATAACAATGACTGACATAGCATGTATTGAACAAATATCACTGATTTGTTGACTAAATAAGCAAAAGAAATGCACTGGAAATTATCTGCTTAGAAGCATATACACTTGATTTAAAGCAAAACAGCAAAAATTTAAATGAAATGTAATTACAAAATATCTCTTGGAGAAGAGTGACATAAGACAAGACAAACTGAGATGAAAAGGAAACTAGAGAACAGCTAAATCTGAGAAGGAAAACTCCTGGGTTTTCCCAGTGACAGGAATCACTACTTTCAGTTTGCTGTTGCCTGAAAAGTGCGATAATAACCACCTCAGGGGAGAGACTTGAAGGTATTAAAGTGATCCAAGAAAAGTAGTGAAGGAAAATTTAGACATACTGAGTTCTACCTCCCCAATGATGGCAAACAGAACTGTGTTATATAACATACTCTGTCCCAGTTAGCTTAACTGTCAACTTGACACAGGCCAGAGTCACAGGAGAAGAGTCTCATTTGAGGGACCGCCCAGATCAGATTGGCCTATGGTCCTGTCCATGGGGGTTGCCTTGACTGTTAACTAATATGGGAAGGTCCAGTCCACAAAGGGCAGCACAATCCCTAGACAGATGGCCCTGAGCTAGCTAAGCATGAACCTGAGAGTGGGCCAGCAACAGCATTCTTCCATGGTTTCTGCTCCAAGCTCCTTAAGCTCATGCCCTGATTTGGCTCAGTAATGGACTGACTTGGAAATGTAAGCCAAGTAAGTCCTTTCTTCCCCAAAACTGCCTTTGGTCAGAGGACCTTACTGCAGCCAGAAATGTAACTAGAGCACACAAGAACAATATCATGGGTATTTCAAAGAAATTCAGAAATATGAAAAAGAAAAATGCTAAATTTCTTATGTCTTTAAAATCTAAAATAATAACAATTGTTTTTATAACATTTATCAGAATTCAGAATTCTAAACCTAATATATATAATATGTATATTATATATATGCACACATATTTATATATGTACATATTTTGCTTGTTTGTTGAGATATATAATCCTGACTGTCCTGAAACTCATTATTTAGACCAGAGCGGCCTCAAAACCACAGACCTGTCTTTGCCTCCCAAGTACTAGGATTAAAGATGTGCACCACTACACCTAGCTAATGTTTTGTTTCATTTTGTTTAGTTTTTCTTTCGGTGCTAAAGGGCTTCAGATAAGCATGAAGTCCACTGTAAGTCACAACCCTACCCCATAAAAGAACATTCAACACAACTCTTCAGACAGAAGTCATTCAGGGCCTCTGGAGATTTGCATACATATTCTTCAATATCAGGAGTACAGACATTAAGAATTTCATTTTATGTTACACCTAGCAAATTAATTATGCTGTCAAAAAATAATGTTTCTGCCGGGCGGTGGTGGCGCACGCCTTTAATCCCAGCACTCGGGAGGCAGAGCCAGGTGGATCTCTGTGAGTTCGAGGCCAGCCTGGGCTACCAAGCGAGTCCCAGGAAAGGCGCAAAGCTACACAGAGAAACCCTGTCTCAAAAAACGAAAAAAAAAAAAAAAAAAAAAAAAATAATGTTTCTAATCCAACTGTCCTCCAAATTTCTGCATATAAAAGTATAAGAAAAAAGAGATTAAAGTTTTACAGACCTTTATATAGCTGGCATCAAACGGTCTTTCATTCCAAATCTGCAAGGCAAAAATCCAAAATATCTGAACTGAAAGGTTGTAAATGTCCAAAAATGAACATTACCATTAAAGCGCCACTTCTCATACCAGCTTTCATTCTGATAAGCTATTTTCCTAGCTTCTGAAAATGGCTGTCATAGAATTTGTAAATAAATTATAAAGCAACATACCTTTTAAAAATAAAAGTTTTTAAAAAAAATTTTTTAAAAAATACTTAGAGAATATTTTTAAAGTAATTTAGGGGGCTGGAGAGGTAGTGCAATGTTAAAGAGCACTTGGTACTCTCTCGGAGGACCAGAGTCATTTCCAGCCCCTGTGGTGGCTCAAAACAGTCTCTAATCACAGTTCCTGGAGGTCCAGTACCCTCTTCTGGCCTATATGGACAGCAGGCATACATGGGGTACACATACACACATACAGGTAAACACTCATATACATAAAATCATTTTTTTCAAAATAAGTAATTTATTCTAGAAATTTCTAACAACAGAACGCAAAAAAAAATATTATAACTGTAATGTGTACAAAGACTACATTGGGCATTGGAGAACTAACAGGCATGAGAATCACTGAAATAATTCTGTTATATAAACATAGTAAAAAAGCAAATTACTCACCAGGGCACTGTATAGGAGAATTTATTTACACAGAGAAATGTAATGATCATTAAAAACACAGAGCAGGCTCTTAATCAGGAAGGAGAAAGGAAACACACTCCACTTTCAAGTTCAGCACCATGAGGGTGCAGTTTCAGTATCGAAAGGGAACTTCTGAGACTTTAGTCTTGTAGTCAAGAAAACCCTTATAGAGGTGAGCCTACAGTCTAGGTGTGACAGAGAACTTATTAAAGAAGTGTCTCACAGCATGTGATTATTAGAGGCTAAAAGAGATCCATCTGTATCTAATCACACTAATAGGTTAAATATACCAACACTAAAATAAATATATAATAAATAAAAATCCCAGATACAAACTGTGAGTTATAATTTGGAAAAGTAGAGTAAAAGCAAGTATACTCTTGACTCCCCCTTCCTATGGCCATGGTTCCTCGTGCCTAAATCATCCTACAGGAGGACTATGGATCAGCAGCAGCGTCTGTCTCTCACTGACAAGAGATCCTTAATCTTGATGTTGCTGGACCAGGACAGCCACAGTTCTGCCACACAGTAGGCACTCAGGAAGCGCTGGCTGATCATTTAACTTGTGAGTGCATGAGAACTTCATATCAATTTTAGACAGTGCTGTATTAAGATGCACATGCTTACAGAGACCCAAGATGGCCATGTGAGGTGTTGTAGGGAACAGTTTTAGGAATGTGGCCAGCCTCCAACACACAAACTCAGTACGTTTTATACTTTTTAACACATTAAAAGATGTTAAAAACAGTTTCAGACAAAAGGAAGCAGATTTCCTTCAGTCTGCAAACTCTTGCCCATCACCTATATTTTCAAGGTCTGAGAGAGAAAAACAGTTTTCAGTTTGAAATGGTTATACTGTAAATGGTTATGTGTCTTAATATTGCCTATGACCTACTAATGCCAACTTAATATTCATGCACCAGCTCTTTATTAAAACATTCAGGTAATGCTTGGGGCACACTAACCAGAATGAGAATAACTTTTAAAGCATAAAGGAACCACATTATTGTTTAAGAGTTAGATAAAAGCTTTGAAGGAGAATTTGAATTGGACTAGCACAAAAAACTTCCTAACCATAGCCAGTCAAAATGCACAGTTGTGGAGTCCAGCCCCAATGGATAGATTTACCAAACACTCCCACACCCACCTAAGGCTCAGAAAGCATTCCAGTAGAGGGGGCAGTAAGTTTGTTAGAACCAGAGATCAGGGAGTTTGCTGTGAGGTTGTGCCTCCTAATAATTCATGTCAGAAACAACTCCCATAAAGTCTCACGAACATGATTGCTCCAATGTGAGCTGAATAAGGACAATACCAATAGACATGCCAAAGTGGATGGGAAAAGCCTATGGGGCCTCAACACCACACAAAGAATTACAGGCTGGGAGGCGTTAAGTTCCCCAGGGGAACTGCACACCAATTGGTTGTCCAATGCCAAATGTCAGCCCTGAAGAGATACATATGAGTAACATTATGTGGTCTGAACAGGTTATAGTTAGGAATATATATGTGCAATAATAATTAGAGAAAAAAAGAGGCCATGGATTTGAAGGAGAGTGGGGATGGGTATGTGGGAAGAAAGGAAAAGGAGAAAGGTAATTATATTATAATCTCAAAATAAAATTAAAAAAAAAACTTTCCAATTAAAAAAGTTTTACTGTGGAAAAAAAAACTTAAAAGAGAGGAAAATACTCAGTACTGTTCAAAGGCAAGAATAACTTGGATTGGCAAAGACTAATAATAAGGGGTCACCTGCGGGTCTCTTGTAGTGAGTGCTATTAGACATCAAAGGAACAAGTCAGTCTCATGACTCAAAGGGGTTAGTCAACAAAGCACAACAGAATCCAGCATTAGGTGAGGAGGAAAGACTGAGCGCAGGCAAAAGGCCACACTAGGTACAGACTAGGAGACAGAGACAAAGCCAAGCATTGGGGGTTTTTTGGTTTTGTTTGTTTTGATTTTTTGTTTTCTGTTTTAGTTTCAACTCCATCATAGTTTTGTTTGGTTTGATTTTCTCATGGTAGTTATGTGAGTTCAATTTTCTGTTTATTGAAATAACAAGAACCATTTATACATTCCCTAAAAAAGAAAAAAAAAAATCCAACATTTTTGAGGCACCGATATAAAAATCGGGCTTCCTTTGAACCCCACTGACTAGAAATTAAACAAAACTAGTCCCTGACACAGTAATCCCATTGATCCATTTAGGAAAAGTTGTTTTTTTTCATGTGTTCTGAGTTTTGTAACTTGAAATACTTCCCTTTTTTCTTCTTAAAATTATATCAAGGGGCCAGAGAGATGATTCAATAGTTAAGAGCACTGGCTGCTCTTCCAGAGGACCTTGGTTCAATTCCCAGCACCCACAGCAAGGCTCACAACCACCTGTAATTCCCAGTTCCAGGGGACCTGATGTCCTCTTCTGGCCTATGAGGACACTGCACGTACATGGTACACAGACATACATGCAATCAAAACACCCATGTATATAAACAATAGTTAAAAACTAAAAACCACATCAAAGCATAGTGCAATGCAATGTGTAAACTGTATTTCTATACATAAAGTATGGTTGTACATCTTTTTTAATGGGACAAAAAGTGAATCAAATTACTTTCTAAAATTTCTAAAATACAAAAAACAAGTCATATTTCCAATGTGTTACTAACCCCAATATAATCAATGTCCAGGTCATGATAACGCTTGGCACCCAAAATCCATCTTACAATATAGTAGGCAGTCAGCTGAAGATTTACGTAAGGCCAACTGAAACCTTTGCCCAGCCATCCGGGGAATGACCACGGCAACCCTGCAGGGGGGAGGCAAAAGGGGAACACGTGAGACAGTGCCGGCACTACCGAGAACAAGTGAGAAATCCAGTGCACTAGGCAGAGGTCGGTGTACAGCCGGCTGAGAGAGAGATTCTGCCACACACAAACGTACAACGTCTTCCTACTCAATAAAAACTAAGATTTCTTACCGATCCCTACAGCCACGTCCTATACTTCCAAATGTCCTTTCAAGTAAATGAAATAAAAACAGCATTTTCTAACAGAAAGAAATGCACAACATTTTAACATCTCTACTCCCTGTGGGCATGATCAATATTACATTTCTGTTCTCTGAGGTCAAATTGAAAAGTCCTGAAAGGCTTATTCCAAACTACTGTAAGTGTAATGTAAAGTTCTCACTCACAAGGACATCTTCTTAATAATTAGGGTTAAATCATCAATAGGTGAGACAATCAAGATGAGCAAACCTAAATTGGCCATTAAATAAATATGAAAATGTCAATGAATGACTCAAGAGGAAAAGGCTGCTGTGTGAAGGGAACGTCACCGAGTAGGTGGAGATTCTTCCAGTAACTCTGACTGTGAAGTTAGAAATGAGAACAGAGAGGCACTAGCTCTAATCCCTACTTCAAGTACAGTAATTTCAAATAAACTCAGTAGCTCATTTCCAATTCAATATATTACCAATCTAGTTCACTGCCAAAAAAAGAAATCAGAATCAACACGATACAATTTTTTTCTAAGCTAATTTCACTACATAAAAAGTATGACATGGAAACAATAGAACATTTAAAAACAACAAAATCCAAACTACAGTGAAGGTCCCCTATGTGAGTCTTCGCTAGGATATCTATACCTAAATGAGGGCTGACCTTAAAAGCAGAACAGCAGGGAGTGTGTACTCAATTCAAAGACGGTTCTACTGCTCCAAACAGTTCTGGAATCTGATCATAAAAGCCCATTTGGAAGAACACACTCTTCATTTGGTTTTTAATTTAGAAAATAACATTCTTTCCTTTAATGATCAAGGAAACTAATCTTCAGTAAATTGAAGTAAGGTATTTAAAATAGGTCACAATTCTATTTAACTCAGTCTGAATGTAAGTCTGCTTCAAAACAGCAAATTCATTTCAAATGATAAAAGCTCTAGTCTCCGGCTGTTTAAAGTAGCTCATGCTGCTATAAAACTGTGAAATGAATGTAGTCCATCCTGAGCAACTATCCAATCTGCCACTAACACCTAAGCTCAATACGGGCATTTTCTTCATTACTGATTGATGGGGGAGGGCCCAGCCTATTGTGGGTGGACCATCCCTGGGCTGGTGGTCCTGGGTTCTAGATGAAATCAGGCTGAGCAAGCCCTGTTGAGCAAGCCAGTAAGCAGCATCCCTCCATGGCCTCTGTGTCAGCTCCTTCCTCCAAGTTCCTGCCCTGTTTGAGTTCCTGACCTGACTTCCTTAGATGATAAACAGTAATTCGGAAGTGTAAGCCAAAAAAAATTTTTTTCCTCCCCAACTTGCTTATAGGTCATGGGGTTTCATGGCAGCAATAGATAAAACCCTAACTAAAACACCAAGATTTAAAAATAACAAGCCAGGCATAAGAAAGGTAGCCTGTAATCCTAGCACTTCAGAGACAACAGAATGAGCTAGAGGCCAGTTTGGGCTACATAGCAAATTCCAGGCTACCCTAGGTCACAAAGTGAGACTCTGTCTCAAAAATCAATCAATCAAATATATACATATAAAAGAATAAAATTATAAATTATAAAGCATAAAGATACAACATAATAAACGGTAACAATGAAGATCAATCTTGGTATATGCTTCATAGCTGGTAGTACAGAGGGTGATACCAAAACATGAGCATTTCCAGGATTAAAAGAGACTTCACAAGCATGATTTCAAATGTAAAAGTTAAAGGAAAAGAGACCCCTAAGCACTGCAACCTTACCCATGAGTATAATGTTAGGGTTCCTCTTCTTGGCTTCCTTCATTAACCACCACTCATAGCCTCGGAAATAATTCTCATCTAGTTCATAGTGCATGTGAGAAGGTTCAGTGCCATCTGAAGAGGGAGAAAGCAACAGGAAATGACTGAGTGGTGCTTCTAGAGCCATTTAAACTTGTGCTCTCTCTCTCTCTCTCTCTCTCTCTCTCTCTCTCTCTCTCTCTCTCTCTCTCTCTCTCTCTCTCTCTCTTTCTCTCTCTCTCTCTCTCATGCACATATACACATAACAGTCTCACACACTCACACACACACACTCATAGTTTCACACACTCATACACGAAACACATACTCTATATATATAATCTCACACATTCACACTCACACATACTCAAATTCACACTCATACACACAAACAATTTTTAACGTGGTACTTTTCTTATATTCTAGTTCTGATTCAAAAGTTGTGCAGATAAGAATTACTTAAGAAGGTGGCTCTGCAAAGTATATCACTTCCTATTTTTCACTATCTTAAACACTTAAGGTTCTTAACAAACCCACAATGTTAAGTGAAAAACAGTACTGAGAAAAATGCTATCAGGTTTTATTACTAATAATTCCCAGGACTAAGTTCTGCTGAGCTTTTGATCTCTCCGAGGTTTTCAAGCTCCCATGTCCAACCTTAAGTCCACATCATCTCAACTTTGAGTATGAATCCCTGTACTCCTGAACCCCAATTCTTATATTCCACCATGTACTATGTCATGATACCGTAAGCTTAGGAAAAGTGAATATACATGCATACCACAGCAATATCAAAGTCCTATGCTAGCACTCATAGTCAGCAGGGGAAACATCCAGACCAGAGGTAGGTCTCTGACATCCAACTCCTCACATGCTCGCATGCATCACAAACACCAGTCGTTGCTAAATGGAGTCTTATAAGAATAACGCTTTTGGCCATTTCTTCTTGGATGTCAACTTGAGACTGCACATATGTGTCCTTATCTCTAATTTGGCACCAGATCAGCACTAGCACCCTGTCTTCTGAGAAAGGCTTTTCTTCCAGAGCTTTACTCCAGCTTTGGTTTTCACCCTTTTATCTTTCCACATAAATTCCACACAGACACTGAAGGAGGGCCCAGCAATTGACCTACCTCACTCTCACTTTCTCCCTCTCTGACGTCATCTTGCCTCATTCACTTTTTCCTTCCGAGTTCTCCTAAATTACGCTGTCCGGCAGTTATCTTGGATTCTAAGAACAGCAGTTCTGATTCACAAACATCTTCATCACAACAGACTAAAACTGCCTCCCAAAACAACAGTGAGCCTCCCACAGCGGGTTAGAAGGGAAATCAAGCTGCCCTCCCAAGGGAGGGTGACTTCTCAGGACCTCTGCAGAACCAACCTTCAGATAATGAACAATCAGACCACAGGCTGCCCAAGGTTACCCGCTCCACCAACTATGCAAAACTCTAGCTAGCCAAACCACAGACTTAAGCCTTCGTTCCCCTTTTCAATAAGGCCTCAAAGTCCTTATCAGCCCCTCAAAAACAAGCCGCCGTGGGTCACCAGACAGTTTTCTGATCATGTGGCCTGGATGATAAGAGTGCCCTTTCTGTCCATCACCACTGCCCTGTCCCTGATAAGTGGTCAAACTTAGTTTGTCACACCAGAAGCCAATGCTTTTGTGCTAAAACTCCAATAAGAGTACCTATTCAGGCATACCTGTTAAAAAAATTTATTTCCAGCGAGCTAGAGACATGCCTCAGCAGTAAAGGCTGCTCTCCCAGAGAACGTGGGTTTGGCTCCCAGCACCCATATGAAGGCTTACAACCATCTGAAACGCCAGTCTCAGAGAATCCAACACCCTCCTCTGGCCTCTGCAGGCCCCAGGCATGCACATGGGTATACAAATATCCATACAGACAAGACACTCATACACATAAAATTGAAATACATCTTTTTTTAAAAAAATTACTTTGAAATCACTAGCAAGAAGACAAATATACAGAAGATACCCTCAAGTTAATATTAATGGGCCTGGCCTACAATTATTAAGTTAAATATTGAACAGAAGTACTTTAAAATTTGACTATGATGGTTGAACATTTAATTACTTAATGTATGCTTGTTTTAAAAAAAAAGAAAGAAAGCTATGTGTTTCTAAAACACAGGTTGTATTTTACAATACATTTTTAAAGTTAGTAACATCTTAATATTCTATACGTAATTAAATTTTTCTTACAACTTTTCCATAAAATTCCAAATGCGCATGATTTTTAGAAAACTAGGTTTGTTTCTCTAATAATCTTCAACTAAATGAGCAATTTAGAGTCTCAATACTATTTTACTATTTTGAAAATTTTACATTTGACATTAATTTTTATTTTTTTATTTATTTATTTATTTATTTTTTTTTTTTTTTGGTTTTTTTGAGACAGGGTTTCTCTGTGTATAGCTTTGCGCCTTTTCCTGGAACTCACTTGGTAGCCCAGGCTGGCCTCAAACTCACAGAGATCTGCCTGGCTCTGCCTCCCGAGTGCTGGGATTAAAGGCGTGCGCCACCACCGCCCGGCTAATTTTTAAAAATAAAAATAAGAAAAGCCAGATCAGCAAGACGGCTCAGCAGGTAAAGGTACATGTCATCCAGCCTGATGACTTCAGTCAGATTCCCAGGACCCACATGGTAGGAGAAAAGAACTGACTTCCTCAAGCCAACCTCTAGCCTCCACATGCTCACAACCATGAACATACATTGACACACACATACAGGCAAACATGTACACACACACACACACACACACACACACACACACACACACACACACACATCAGATAATGTAAAAGGAGAAAAGTAAAGCACAATCTGCTGAAGACCAATCAGCCTCAAGTGGGTTGACCCTCCTTACGTCCGTACGTTTACGTATAGGTTAAAATGTTGGGGGAACCCATTTCCCAAATCCTCCTACCTGTTGTTTGCCCATCACCACCTATTTCCACTTTTAAACTATGCAAAGAGGCACCAAAGTTTGGCTGTGGAAAAAAAATAACAGTATTATCACTGTGCCCCAGCATGTAAAAAACTCAAAACAATCACCCATAGAGGCCCTTTTGGCTATACAGGTGAGAAGGGCAAAGCCTCAAAAAGCAGTTTATTCCAAACATAATCTGCTACTGTTTACAAAAGCTGGCAGAGAGCTGATAAATTCTATGGTTGAAATTCACCGTGTACTTTCAAAACATCACAGGCCCAGTAGAGAAATATTTTTCCTTACCTTAAAGAGATAATCCAGTATTTCAGAACGAAAGGGCTCTGGGTAATTTACTAGAAGCCGAGAGGTTGCCTGGGGAAAAGAAAGTGTTCAAAGAATATGAATAAAACAAATAAAATCATCAATACTTATCTATAGTGTTTGTGAGGGCCCACAGAGGTTCCATAGTGAAGCCTTATTCCATCTTGACTCAAGATCAGAGAGTCCAAGCTTGTTGCCCCCCCACTCCCCAAGGCTGCATAATAGGATGTTTTAGCTAAAGGCATGGTTACCAGGTGTCTTGAGTACTAAAGGAGGTGTTTATACTTGTCTGTACTTTGCACCTTGAACCGTCATGTCCCTGAAAGAGGGAGGTCTTTTTGCTTTGGGTATAAAATGGTTGTGGGTAATAAACTTGAGGCATCTGTGGTATTGACCTAGAGCCCTCCCGAAGCTATCCTGTGTCCTTTCCCTGGGCTGTTTGGTCTGTGCCCAATCACTGGTAGACAAGCCTATTGTTTTGCTAAGAGCTAACAGGTTTTCTTATGCTGGTATTAGAGTTGGCTGATTCATCCAGTAACTCATTGAAGCAGATGCAGAGATCCACAGCCAAGTACCAGGCGAAGCTCCAGAAGTCCAGTCAAAGAGAGGGAAGAGGAATTCTACCAGCAAGGGGCATCGAGATCATGATGGGGAAACCTACAGAGACAACCAAACCAAAACTAGTGGGCACTCATAAAATTTAGACCAACACCTGTGGAGCCTCCATGGGACTGGACTAGGCCTTCTGCGTAAGTGAGACAGTTGTGTAGTTTGATGTGCTTAAAGGGTCCCTGGCAGTAGGATCAGTATCTATCCCTGGTGCATGGGCGGGCTTTTTGGTGCCCATTGCCTATGGTGGGACACCTTGCACAGCCTTGATGCAGGTGGAGGGGCTTGGACCTGCCTCTGCTGGATGTACCAGGTTTTGCTGACTCCCCATGGGAAGCCTTACCTTTTTGGAGGAGGGAATGGGAGGTGGGTTGTGGGGGAAGCAGAAGGAGGGAGGAGAGGGGGATCTATGGTTGGGATGTAAAATAAATTTAAAAAATTCTTAATAAAGAAAAAAAGCTAGCTGAGAGTTAAGTTTATAAAGGTTACTAAAACATTGCGATGGCTAACACCGTCAACTTGACAGGATCCAGAATCACCAACTTCTGGGCATGTCTGTGAGGGAGTTTCTAGACGGAGTTCACTGAGATGGGAAGGCCCACCCTCAAGTGAGAAGAACCATCTCAGGGGCTGGGGCCTCAAACTGTCCAAAGAGAAGCAAGCCAGCTGAGCACGGGCTATCATCTCTCTCGCAGTCCGGCTGCAGACACAATGTATGTTGTCTCATCCTCCTTCCTGACCATGATGGACCGAACCCTCAAACTGGGAGACAAAATAAATCCTTGCTCCCTTGAATTTGTTTGGGGTATTTTGACATAGCAACAAGAAAAATAGCTAATGTAAACATGATTTCAAATTTATCTTGAAACTGAAATATTCTGTCTTAAATCACTTATCAACATCTGGGGGCTAGGGCTTTGGGGACCCTATTCCTCACACTGGATTGCCCTGTCCAGCCTTAACACTAGGTGAGGTGCTCTGCTGCAACTTGATATGCCATGTTTTGTTGATAGCCACGGGAGGCCTGAGCTTTACTGAACAGAAATGGAGGACTGGATGGGGGCAGGGCAGAGGGGAGGTAGAGGGAAGAGAAACTGCTGTTAAGATGTAAAATAAATAAAACTATCTGGAGGCAAGGATAAATGAGATGAATCTCAGACAATCTTACCCATTAATATGTAATGTAGTAATGCTGAGAAGAAACAGTACTCCCCTCATCTTTATAAATCCCATCCACTACCATTACCATTGACTACACAAGGGTCCCCAAGGCAAGGCCATGTGAACAAAAGTGTGTACAAGATCGGTAACAGAAAGAATGGAAAAACATATGTAGAAAGTAGAGGTACTAACTAAATTTAGTCATACTTAGACTAGACCCTGGCAGATGACAGCCTGAAAATAAAGAAAACCAATAATGAACCAAAAACCTGTACTTTGGGAGGTCATATCAATGAGTAGGCAAGGTGTTAGATATGAGGTAACCAGGGAAAACTAGAGCTGTCTCTTCATGGCTATGTCTCTAGTTAGGCAGCAGTAAAAGACATGATAGAAGCAAGGACCTGAAGCCTGTGTCTTGGTAACTGCGTTTCCTGATGGTCAAAATGCTCCCTTTATGATTACAAGCATCGGTAAAGCTGAAGTTACAGTCTTTCTATCTTATTAAAAACTAGGGTACCAGTCGGGCAGTGGTGGTGCATGCCTTTAATCCCAGCACTCAGGAGACAGAGGCAGGTGAATTTCTGAGTTTGAGGCCAGTCTACTCTAGAGTGAGTTCTAGGACAGTCAAGGCTACATGGAGAAACCCTGTCTCAAAAGAGAGAGAGAGAGAGAGAGAGAGACAGAGACAGAGACAGAGACAGAGACAGAGACAGAGAGAGAGAACAAAACAAACAAACAAATAAAACTAGGGGACCAGGACACTTTCCCAACTGCCTGTCACATGTACACACTAATGAAAGGGTTGCATCTCCAAAAGACCATAACTTCATTATAGCATTTTCATTATGGTTTGACCCCTCCTCATTCCTCCACATACACACATACTCAAATATTTTTCATGATGATTATGGGACTATCTAGTCCTCCACAGTTTAGGAAAGGAAAATGGACCTTATCTATGAATATAGCATCAATTTCATAGTCATAAAAAACTCTTTAAAATCCCTAACACAAAACCCACTGGACTGCTTGCCCCCTTGCCTTTGGGACAGTCTACTGCAGCATCTCCTTGCAGTGTTTGCTTTTCTTTGCTGAATGGTCTTTTGCTTAAATTGTGAGTCTGCCCGGAATTCTCTCCTTCAAAAATACAAGAACTAAGGAAAGGCCTTTGCCTGGTGACATAAGCAAAGGAAACAGGGGTAGTTTTTCAGCACAAAACTGGGACTCAACTGCCAATTTGCCAAGAATACGACAAGGGTAAGATACTTGGGTTTTTACAGGGTTCAACCTACCCTAAGTGCTCTCATATATGACACCCTGGTCGGTCAACTTACTCAGACTCAGAGTCTTCCTACGCTGTCCCTCTGAGCCACAAACCATGTCATGGAGCACAACAGATCCAAACCAAACAGCACTCTTACCAACTCTGTTCCTCCTACATTATCTTCCTAAAGAGCAACATCTGTCTAAGCCATAAGCCTGAGGTCACCCTTTCCACAAACTCATCCTCAGTCACCAATAGGTCCTCAGGGCTCTCAAATCCATCACCTACTCTTCAACCCCACTGGCTTAACCTAGCCCTCCTACTAGAATAAGGAAAATGGCTTAGGGGCTTACCACTCACCTCCCTGTAGTCTACTCTCCTCACTACTTACCAGTTCAATATTCTTCAAACAAGTGTAATCCTGTCATTGTTCTGCTAAAGTTTCCTGTTCTCTAATAGCTTTTAAAATAAAATTCCAATTGCTTAGTTTTATACTAAAATCCTTTAATAACTTGGATCCAGTTCTGCCAGTTTGCCTATCACTCTCACATTTTTAATCCAGACACATCAAACTGTCTTTTGTTTCCTGCCTGCATGGACTGTATACCACATCTTCATTTTCTAATCAACTCCAATTCAGTATTTAGCCATCATCTCAAAGCCCACTTCTTCAGAGAAAGCTGCCTTCGGCCACTCCCCATTGATCCAAGTGCTTCTGTGGGCGACATTGGTACCAGATCCATGTCTCTATTTTAACACTTGTAATCCTACATCCCAATCACTGGTACTGTTCTCACCTTTAAGTTCCTTGATATGCTGTCTTCCTCAAGTTCTTGTCCTTATTCCTTGTTATTCAAAAGGCAGTTATTTAGTATCTTCTATGGTTTTGTTGCACAGGTACAAGGAACATACGTAGGAGGCTCAGAACTAAACACAGCATGCGTCCTGATTTTCTCACAAGTTATGAGACCATGAGCAAGTACTAAAGTAGGGTACTGATTAGGGTGTCATAACATGAAGATGCCCATTAAAAGCACAGCAAGAGCCCAAGCACACAGTGAGCCCCAGACAAATGGCAGGCTACACACACACACACACACACACACACACACACACACACACACACTTTAAAAAAAATACATTGTTCTAAAAAACCTTACAGTCTTGCAGAGGCTCATATGTCAAAAAACACATTCATTAAATGAACACTGTCTGCATGACAACATAGACCATCATTACATATGACTGTCATAAGTAATTCTTCCTATTTTGTATTATACAATTAGAAACGCACAGTTTGTTGCCTGGGAGCCCTTTTGCTGCCTATGCGTATCCCCTCAACGCAGAAAGGACCAGGTTTAGAAAAACAATGCTACAGTCACACTCAGTGTAAATATTAGGCAAAGGCAACAGTCCTAAGTGTTGAAATGCACCATTAAACAGGGAATTTTCAAATTATTAACCAAGGTGCCTAAACCAGGTGTGAAGCTATGTGTAATACCAGGAAGCAGCCTTGGGGTACACCTGCTCAGCACAAGACCTTAAAACAACTTCCTCCTCCCTAATCCCTAAACTATTACAATAATCCCAATTGGTTAATCACACCCATCCTCACAATGGTACTGCCAGGCAGTTATCTTTGCTCCCTCAGAAAAGAAACTGAAGCAAAGGTAAATGAAATAACCATGAGGTGACCGTCCATTCCAGTATGACTCCAACAACCTGTCAAGCCCACATTTCAACTACTGCACCAAAAGGCTTTCCCTAAAAATGTGAGGGTGAAATGAGAGCAATCTAAATGCTGCTACAAACTGTGCTAGGTAGCAAGAGTTACACACACACACACACACACACACACACACACACACACACACACACACACAACCAGTTTAAACTGGTACGCAAATAAAATGTTCACCCATCTTCATTCATTACTGATTGGTCTCCTAATTGAGTAACACAGTATAGAGACATTAATAATTGAATATTCTATAGATAAGAATTACCTGCTCTGGGGGCTGGAGAGATGGCAATTCACAGTGACCTACTACTGCTGGCCTTTATAGGTCCCTGCATTCACATGCTCTCATGAGACACACACATACACACAATTGAAATAAATTATTAAAAATGAATTTCCTGTTCTAGGTTATTAAGTGATTGTTTTTAAGGACAGAGTTTCATTATGTAGCACTTGGCTGGCCTGGGAACTGGCTATGTACACCAGTTTGGCCTCAAACTCACAGAGATCCATCTGCCTCTGCCTCTGCCTCCTGAGTGCTGGGATCAAAGGCTTACTCCATCACACCAAGTTATGAAATTATTAATTTTAAATTGAGCTAAATAAGTAAAACTAGGGGTTTTGATTTTTTTTTCCTAAAGCCTGTGCAATTATATCTAGTATCACAAAGTTATCAAAAGGAGAGACTGAGGCTTCATATGAAATATTTGCTATTACATTTAAATCAAAAAACAAGAACAAAAAGAAACAGCACTGAGAATAAAGAGCTTGGTCCATTAGTGTACACACAATGTTGGGATATATAGAACATTATACTGTATTCGTAACTTTTCTGTAGATCTAAAGTTACTCTAAAGTTTCAGTTTTAAAACAAAACCACTTCCCACTCCCGAGATCTTGGAATCAAAAAGAAATCTTGCTCAAGACCTCTTCTTTTGAGAAATAACTGGTGTTTATTACCAAGTCAGACTGGGAGAGGAAGGCAGAACTTAAGTTTTAACCAGCACACCTGATGATTCTTATGCACGCGTCCCACAGAGCCAGCATTCCCCATTCCTGCACACACTGCTTAGCCTCTGGGCAATTTCTGTTAGGGGGGACGAAGGCGGCCCTCTTTAAAAAACAATATCCCAGACAGCGTCAGACCTCACACCACCCTCAAGAGTCCAGGAGGCAGCAGTCACATGGGGAGTCGCTGCTCCAGAAGGGTCCCCATACCCGGCTGCACTACCGGTCCCCACTAACTATCGCCTCGGGAAGGAAGAGAACCCCCCAGAGCATCCCGCCTGAGGCTTCGCGTCCCCTCTCTGGCTTTTTCGGAGGCGACCCTTGTCGAGGGCCGCAAGGACAGCCCAGGCGGGCGGGCGATGCAGGGCGAGCCCCTCGCCACCTTCCCGGCAGACCCCGAACCGCTACCCTGGCTTCCTCTCAGAGGGGCGTGGAGGAAGCGGCGTCCGTTCGCTGGGCAACGCCGCGCGGGCTTGTGGGAAGGGGCGTCCCCCTCCCTTTCCCTCCCCCTCCATCCCCCTCCGACCCCGGCGTCCCCCCCGCCCCGCGCGCTCCGGAGCATCTTTGCCTCCCGGCCGCCGCCCGCGCTCACCCCGCCGCCGCTGACTGCGCCGATGCCATCGAACTCCCGGCCCAGCCCGTCGGAGTCGTCGAGCACGTAGGCGCCGCTGGGCGCTAGCAGGGCGCACAACAGCAAGGGCACGGCGACACGGCCTGGCGAGCCCGCGGCGGCGGCGGCGGCGGCGGTCATGACTTTAGCTTGGCGTTGCTGGGAAGCCTTAAGTGACCTGTCAGCCATTGTGCGGGTCACGTGACTGCGGCGCCCGGGGAGGCGGACCCGATCGCCTCCATGATGAAGAACAGGGGGCGGCTGAGGCGGCTTTGGCCATCTTAAGTAAGGGCGGCAGGCTGTCCGCGCAGCCGCAGTAGTGTTGAGCGAGCTTTGCCTTGTCACTCCTGTGTCAATGAGGTGGTGCCGGTCTGTGCGTGTAATGACTTAGTGACCACCCTTTCTACCTCACCTGATGGATCATGGCAGTGAATGGGAAGTGGATGGCCAAGAACTGTCAAAGAAGAGGCCTGTGAGTGGGCCTGCCCTCGTAGCTCATTCTCAGCAGGAAACAGCAAAGAAGAAGAGGACCTGGCTTGAAGCCCCAAACTCAGCCCCCAGTTAAGCCGTCATCTTGGTTTAGTCGCTTGGCTTTCAGACCTTGAACTTTTCTAAACCAGTAAGAACAGCAAGTCGGGGAACTCAGGATTAAAGAAGATAAAAGTAAAATAATAGGAACTCAGGAATACTTAGCAAATGCTAGCTGACAATGTTTTCCGTTCAGTTAAGCACTCTGCTATATCCAGGGCTTTTAGCCTTAAAACTTTTGAGTTTAGAATATGATTACTCCCCGCAAAAATGTTGCTATAACATATTGACTATTTTGAATTAGAAGACCTAAAAAAATACAATAGGCCCGGGGTACTCTGACCTTTATTCTGTTTCTGAAAGGAATACGAAAGCCACTTAGGAAAGATGCCCTGACTGAAATACCAGGAAGTAGCACTGTTTGCCAATTCTTGTTCCAGTAACCCTTACCTTCCTACTCAGCTCTCTAGCCAGTTAAATACCCTACCAGGTACATCCCAGCCTGTGCCTGCAGACCACATGGAGCAGATGTTAGCCATGAAAGCAGCCCACCACAAAATTATGCATAAACTTAACTCAAAACATGATGAGACTTGTTATGATTTAAAAACCTCCATTGGGCAGGCATCAAGTGTGAAGTCTGTAGATGACAACACAGTGTCACACTATGAAAAGGGTGGACACGACTGCTGACCCCTCTGCATTACCATATGTTATAACTTAACTACTTTTTTGGTCTGATTCAGCATATAAGTCATTAACCTGTTTATGGGGGGGGGGGTCTTCACCATCTTAGGGTATGCCCCTGTGGCCTGTAACTTGAACTTGTATACCTCTGTCCACCTGGTCCTTCACATCAGTTTAATGCTTAGATCCAAGCAGGACTCAAAGCTGGCGAAGGTACATTTATGCTTCCTTGAACCTATGATAAGTTATCTTTCACTGTCAGTAAACTGATTCCAGGCAGATAACCCTAGATAATTCATAGGAAAGTTGTGAACCGTCCTGGGAATCCTGATTCTCCTGATATTATAGAAAATTAGAGTGTGAAGGGCTAAAGAGAAAGTTAGGTTTTTTTCCTCTAAAATTCCCTTTAGTGGGAAGCATAGGATCATTTGAGTTCCCATCTCAGTCCCCCCGAGACACCAGAATGGCAAGGAGAAGATGGGAACATGAGCCTCCTCAGCATAATTATCTTTGTCATAAGTTCTGTTGTCCCTTAACAACATGCCTGAATCTTGTGTTTTGGGACTGCTCTCTTGGGTACTTTTCTCATTGCTGTAACAAAATACCTGGTAGGAGACGTGAGGAAGGCTTTGTCTTGGCCCACATTTGGAAGGTTCACTCCTTCCTGGCAGGGAAGTCACACCAGCAGGACCCTGTGTCACCTGGTTATGTTGCATTTGCAGCCAGGAAGCTGAGAGAGGTGAATGTTGGCACTTCGCTTACTTCCTTGTTCTGTCCAGAACCCACTGCCATCTGTAGTGCCAAGCCACATTCAGGATGAGTCTTACCCCTTTCTGGAAACATCTTCATAGACACACCCAGAGGTGGGCTTTGTGGTGGGTCTAGATTCAGTCCAGATGATAATGAAGATTAACCACCACAAACAAAATTATGGGAAATTATATGAAGGGGTAAAATCAAATCACTTGAAAATCCTGTCACCAGCCTTATGAACTCCTGTGATATCTCTAGGTTCTTTCTGGACAATAGCTTTGTTCATTCTTCCTCTTAGATGTATATGTGTGTGCATATGCATGTGCTGTGGGATGGTCTGTATGTCAAATGTGTTGCTGATTGGTCAATAAATAAATCACTGATTGGCCCGTGGCCAGGCAGGAAGTATAGGCGGGACAAGGAGGAGAATAGAGCTGGGAAGTGGAAGGCTGAGTGAGGGAGACACTGCCAGCCGCCATGATGAGAAACAGCATGTAAAGATGCCGGTAAGCCACGAGCCATGTGGCAAGGTATAGATTAATAGAAATGGATTAATTTAAGCTGTAAGAACAGTTAGCAAGAAGCCTGCCACAGCCATACAGTTTGTAACCAATATAAGTCTCTGTGTTTACTTGATCGGGTTTGAGCGGCTTGGGACTGGCGGGTGAGAGAGATTTGTCCTGACTGTGGGCCAGGCAGGAAAACTCTAGCAACAAATGGCGCCCAATGTGGGGCAAGAGTTTCCACCTAAAAACTAAAAAAAAAAAAAAAAAAAAAAAAAAAAGATTCTAAAATGGAGCTAAAAACAGCTTCCTAATTGTCTCTCTCAAATGAGCGACAGCTGCTGGTTTGAGCTACTGGCGGGTTCCTGGTGTGCGTGCTTGACCTGCGGTATGGCGGGAATGAGGCCTCTGCAAGTGGCACATTAAGCTGCTTGATGGATTTAGCCTTTGCTAGTACAAAAAAAAAAAAAAAAAAAAAAAGAGGTTTCTGGGCTACATACAGCTTGGATAAAAGCATAGACCCACGATGGCTCCCAGAGCTGGCGGTAAGCATACTGCCACCATGTTGGAAAGCTGAAGTGGGCGGAGCCAGCAGCCACAGCACCAGCGCCGTTTCAGGCTTAAAAGGCTGCAGTTCAAAACAATAGGCTCAAGCTAATATAAAAAAATAAGCCACGTAAAGATGGCTACCACACAAAGAATCTGGATTATGTTCTCTTTGATATTCATAACTAAAGAAAAACATTTGATTACAAAAGCTGTTGAGTTATGCCAAAATGTATATTTTTAAAGGTACCTTGACTTCAAAATTTGGATATAAGGATATGTTGCTTTGGAAAGGAGATTCTGCTTTTGTTTCCACAAAAAGCCAGAGGCTATGGATTTGTTCCAGATTAAGACACATCAGGTTTGACCAGCCAAGACCCCCTGAAAGGTCTCCGATGACACCATGGCCCAGATGATCCAACATCCAGAACCTTTCAAGGCAACTGGCTCAGACGATACAC